CAACAAAAACAAAGTAATAAATATTGTACATGAGGTTGATACAATATATTAAACTCATTTTTACAAATCAAGTTTTGTTCCATCACATAAATTTTATAAATATAAAAACCCGAATAACTTGTAGTTGATTGCACATATTTTACCTTACTATTTTCATGATATTTCTAATTATTGATTTATTATGAATCATGCTACTAGCAAGTAGACTTTAATAATGTTTTTTATATCTATACATGCGAATTCAATGTATTTCTTATATTTTAAGGGACTTGAAGTAGACGTCCTATTCTTGCTACTATGATGATGAGTAACCTTCATTGCTCCCACACTACAACGATTTTTATGTTTTATTTATTACAGAAAAATTTAAATCACCTTTTGTTCTATTAAGCAAGTGCTCACAGTTCATTAGTTAAGTTTGAGCTTGGTGTTTGAAGTGATTAGAGTCTCAAATAAAATTGTAGTGCCGGTAAAAGGATTAGAAAGGAAAATTTTGGTGTTTGAACTGATTAGAGCTTTAAGTGTTTATGTTGTAGAAAGTAAATTATATGTTAATTCTTAGATGAAAAAAAAATTATTCTAGGAACTGGTAAAAGGAAGAACCGAACCGTTTACTACCGGTTCGGTCCATAACGGTTCTTGATTTTTTATATAGGAACCAAACCGATTTCATTAGTTAAAATTTTTAAAACGGTTTCACTCATTTTGAGTAAGAGTCAAACCGGTCCCAGCCCTAGGATTTGTGGACAAGTATGAGACAGAAACATTGTCACACAAGAGCTTAACTGGTTGGCGAATGGGGATGCCCAACTCTGTCTTGCTGATGTGCTTGCTGAGCATGCCCAATTCTGTAGAGTCGTCTGTCGACAGACAACTCTGTCTGCGTGATACAGACGAATGTACAAAAAGTGTACACATTTTTGTATACACCACGCATTTTTCCAAAAATATAGCAAAACCTTAAGTAGACCTACTACTACCAGGACAACCAACTTAGTCAGCATCATAATAGGCCTGCAAGGTTTAAGAAGTAGTGTGAAAATAATGTGGAAATAAAGGAAGGGGAATTACTAGTAATAGTAATGTCATTCACTTAAAGAAGGAGATAAAAAATAGAGGACCCATGGCGGTAAATAAATAAGAAATTATCAGACTTTACTACAGACAAAACCACGAGTCAACAAAAAACTGCTAAACCTATAAAACCAGGCTCTTAGAGCCTGTTTGAGACCATAAATAGCCTTCCTCAGACAAACATGATTAGGAAACTGTGGATGAATAAATTCAGGAGGCTGATACATATAAACTTCTTCAGTTAGATTGACATGAAAGAAAACATTTTTAACATCTAACTGACGAATGGTCTAACGAAACGACACATCATGAGATAAAACAATACAAACAATGGTTGGTTTAACTACAGGACTAAAAGTCTCAGAAAAATTCACACCAACTTGTTGAGTAAATCCCTGTGCTACCAGATGAGCCTTATAACGCTCAATTGACCCATCAGAATTAAATTTGTTTTTATAAATCCATTTAGACCCGACCACATTTTTACGAGGATTAAATGGAACTAATTCCCAAGTATGATTATCAATAAGTGCATTAAATTCCTCTGCCGTAACAGCTCTTCATTTAGCATCTCTATTTGTTATAGAAAACCTAGATGGATCACATGCTGAAATATCTGTTTTGAGATTACAAAGAGATTTGGGTTTAAAAATACCCAATTTTGCACGTGTTTGCATAGGATGACGATTTGCATGGGAAGGTGCGGGAGGTGGAGATGAATCGGATAGGCTGCTAGAAGGAGAACCACCCGTGGAGGTGGAGTTGGTGCTATGGCTGTCAGACTGGTCAATGGGCTTCGTAGGTGGTGTTGGCATGGGGGAGGTAACAGGGTGGGAAATCTGGGATTGGTGAGCTGTGGCCGTTGAGGGTGCGCTGGTTGCTCGACTGCCAGCGTGAAGTGATGGACTGGGGTGAGGGGTATGGTCAGCCGGTACAACGCGCAGTGGACTCATGAAGGAGCAGAAGTCACTGGAGACAAAGATGGCAAGTCGCAATTTTCCGAAGAGGAAACCAAGTCTGAATATTGAAAATAATTTTCATAAAATCGTACATTCCAATTTATGTAAATCTCGCCAGTAATAGGATCAAGACAACGATAACATTTGTACTCAGGGGCATATCCTAAAAATACGCATAAGACAGATCTGGGAGAAAGTTTGTTGGTAGAAGTGACATTAAAATTAGGAAAACAGGCAGAACCAAACACACGCATAAAAGAGAAGTCAGAAGAATGGTGAAATAATTTTTCAAAGGGGAAGCACCATTTAAATTTGGAATAGGGAGACGATTAATAATACAGGTAGCGGTAAACACAACATCAACCCAAAATTTAGCCAGCATTTTTGACTCAAAAAGCATAATGCGGGTTAATTCAAGAAGATGCTTATCTTTCTCTCAGCAACTCCATTTTGTTGAGGAGTATCTGGACAAGATTTGCGAAATAAAATACCATGCTTGAGAAAAATTCTCACGCATACCATAATTATCAAACTCATTCCCTCCATCACTTTGAAAAATTTTAATTTTGGAGTCCAGTGAATTTTCCACCATTGATTTAAAATGTTGAAAATGTCTCACAACAACACTTTTATTGCGCATAGGATAAAACTAAGCAAAACGGGAGAAATCATCAATGAATAAAACATAATATTTAAAACCACTTTCAGAGAGAACATGAGACAACTAAACATCAGAATGAATTAAAAATAATGGAACATTAGATTTATGCCAAACTTCTTGAAAAGATAAATGTTGTGATTTTCCTAACCGACAAGAAATACAATCACGAGAAAAACTAGAAGTACTAAGAATAGTCCCAAACCTTTTAAGTTTACCTAAAACGCGACTGCCACAATGTCCCAAACGACGATGTCAGACCGGTCCGGGAGCAACATGAGAGATAAGAGCATCTGGTGAAGGATGAGTAAGGGAAATAGGGTAAACACCACCATTACTGAAAGCCTGAAGAAGCACCTTCCCCAAAATTGTGTCCCTAACACAAACATAATTTTTATCAAAAATTACAAAACAATTATTATCAGAACATAATCGCTAAATAGAGAGTAAATTATATTTCAGATGAGGAACATAATAAACAGATTTTAAATGGAGAGACTTAGGCGGAGTAGATAAATGCAAATCACCAACAATCATAATAGGTAAATTAGATCCATTAGCAACCATAATTTCAATGAGGAGACAGATTGCGAATCTGAACAAAGGGAGATTTACGTGCGTAAGACTTAAACTTAAGAGATTTCCCAATGTATGACCTCTTCTGTTAATTTCTACGCGTATGACTATGCATGTCATTTAAAGAACGGCCGTTGTAAAATTTTGATCATTAAAAGACTAATATAGCCTTTAAATTAAATGGGCATTAGCATGTAGTGGGCTATGGGATTTCAAAGAAATCCAATTAAGGATTTCAAACAAATTAGCCCTAACTTACCAAATAACAACACCACCGCAAAAAAAAATCCATTCATATTAAAATGTTTGATGATAAAAAAAACTCTTATGACTAAAATACCTTTATTTAAAAAATGTGCATTTTACATTATTTTGTTCAATTAAAGATAATGCACTTTATACTGCAGTTACTATTTGACATTACTGCATGACATTACTTCACTTTTGGTAATACTTCGTATATCATTGCACTGCCGCGAACATTAGTTCTCTTCTCATTCACTTTAGTAATTTTTTTATAGTTCTTTTTTTTAAATTTTTTTAGATTTTATAATTTCAGTATTTAAGCCTAATTAATTATATTGCATTTCATGTGGGTGATACTGCTCTACATCATTGCACTACTTGTCATAATCAGTGCACTTTCTGCCAATGTTATGACACAATCTATTGCATCCGATTCACTGCACCACACACTTCGTCAATGCATTCCTTCATTGACGTGTACAATATTACATATTGTCATATTCACTTCCCATACTCAACCATAGTTATATATTGCCATGTCCACTAATCATGCTCACTACTGCCTATATTTACTGCCCATGTTTAATGCCCACACATCCTAATTTCAAAAATAGAAAAAAAGAAGGAGATGAATGGGAATGGAGGAGACGGCTGGGCGGCGGCAAGATTGGGACGGACGTGAGGGTTAGACGGCGAATGTCGGTTCGCGTAGGGACTTAGGAACGCGGCTGGGCGGCAGCACATAAGGATCGGGATGGTGGCGGCGCACATGGATTGGGACAGCGGCTCCCATGTCGAAGGATGCCGGCGGCGGCCATAGGTTAGGAAAGTACATGTGTAGGGACGGAAGCGGGGCAAGCGTGCAGCTGAGCGGCGATGGCGAGCAAGCGTGCAGTAGGACGATGGGGCGGCCAAGCGTGCGGCTGGACGGTGGTGGCACAACTGGATGATGGCGGCTGGACGGCGGTGGCATGACTGGACTTAAATTTTTAAACTTTAATTATGGAACATTATTGTTAATTGGTACGAATTTTCTGTAATTGATCAATTGCTATGCAAACGTCATTGTTAATTTTTTAATTGATAGGGACTAGGGAGCTTCTGTAATTGATTAATGGCTATTCATGGGCGGCGGAGTATTACAGTATGTAGTAATGGAACCTGCCTTTATTTTGTTTTGAAACGTGGCACTCAATGGAAGGGTAGATCTGGAACTAAATAAAATATCCGATATGTTCGGTCGTACAATACATGAAAGAAAGCATCATATTAGGGAAAAAAACACCCGAGTCATAGATTGAGAAAGATACCTTCTTTTAATCAAAATGGCCGACCGGCGACATCAATTAATAATATGCATAGAGTTTTTTTTCTCTAAATGGGACTTAAATAATGAGTAACTTTTTTGTTTTGTACAAAGTCCATTATACCCCCACTTGATAGATTTGGAATCAACCTAATTTATTTCTACACCGTCATGCCATCAACTACCTTCTTCGTTAGCCGTCTATTTCGTTTTTGGAAGGAGCTTATTTGCGAACTAGCATGCGTTCAAGCTCTATTCTCTTTCGCAATTCCATACCGTCTGTTTCATGTTCTTCGTCGTTCTCCCTTTTTCTTCTTCGTTTTTGAGATCATATTTGCAGGTACGTAATTCACTCGTCGTTTCTTGTGTTGAATTTGATTACGACTTCTACCTTTGTATTTCTACTTTATTCTCGTTATGTGCTTTTTCTAAGCCATTATTTTCATATTTGTTGATACTTGTGCATTGCAATGTCCATTACATGAGATTTTTACTGAACTCTTTCGAATTTCACTCAACTATTCAATTACAAATACATGTTTATTGTTATTTGTTACGAGTATTCCTTATTGCCATATTTTGAATGTCTTTTGCGTTTTCTTGTCATTTTTTATATATCTGCCATGTTTCCTTTGTTCTGTGCTTACTTTATTTTTCCCTTTTTGTATATGTATTTTTAGTTCGATGCATGCTGTTGTAGTTATTGTGTTGAAGTTGAATGGTACTTGGGTTTGTTTCTTTACGCTTAACCATACGAATACGTATGCTATTCATGTTCGTTCTCTTACAACATATGAATCCTTTATTGCAATGTTTACTGACATGCTTCTTCAGTATATATTGACCCCATCATAATTCATACTCTCGTATTTGGTTGAAGGTTCCCCATAGCCTGTTAAAATTAATGACGAGTCCACTATCAGATTTTACCTTGACCTTAAGTTGTTAGAACCAGATTTTTATAATTATCCTTTATGTGTGGAGTTTTATTCTACAAATACTGTTACTACCTCTGTTCCTAAAAATTCTTCCCGGTTTGACTTGGCACGCCTATTAAGAAAGCGGAATAAAGTGGAAATGTGTGGTTGTGGTTGTATGAGAAAAAGGTAAAATGAATGTGAGCCACACAAATTGTCCAAAAAGGGAAAGTGGGAAGAATTTTTGGGAACGATCCAAAAAGGAAAGTGGGAAGTATTTTTGGGAACGGAGGGAGTACTCATTCAGTGTAGCAACATAATCCATGTGACCACTCATATATTTCTTTGACGAGTCGTGTTCCGACATGATTCGTCATGAAATGGCTACTGGTAAACATTGTGACTTCGATTTTGGTGATGGTGTATCTTGTGAATCTTTTCTTTGACATCATATAGTGATTTAATAACACCTATGTTCAATGCAAGCACCTCACGTTAAGAAGACAATGATACCTTTTCAGATGAATCTCTCCCACCATCTCTTGAATCAGAGTATAGTTTCCCAGATTGCATGGCTCTACATGCTATATACAAGAATAAGGATGGCCTGATATATCATTTGAAGATGTATGCCATCAATAATTGCTTTCGTTACAGAACCAATACATCAAAGAAACATACTTTGCATGTTGTTTGATAAGATCCGGATTGTGGTTGGGCTCTTCATGTTGTTAAATTAAATGGTGTTTCTTTGCATGTTGCTTCTTTATTTTATTAATAAAATGTATTTTATATTTTTACAATTCACCAGTTTCGGCCTATTTAGTCGTTTCAATCAAAATGTCAGTAATGTCAATAGATTTGGAGCCCGTTTGGTAACACTCAAATTGATAGAATTGGTTGTTTCTACTGAAATTTATGAAGCTCTGGCTGAAGTGATTGGATCAGCTGATTTTTGAAAAAAATTGTAAGCAAAAAATATTTTATTAATAATATAAAGAAAAAAATATATGAAAATAGCTAAAAATTGTCCTCTACAGTAACTTGAACCGGATCAATACAGTTCCAAAAGTAATTTCAACGTTACTTATTTTGATTGTTACACAATTCAACGCGTGAAATCAATAGTTCATGTTTAGTTAAAAAAATTGTTGATAAGTAAAAAAAAATAGGGTCACGAAACGGGCTGTGAGATTGGTACAAACTTTTAAGGTAATTTTCCAACATTAATTTAGGGATGCGTATAAAATAAATAAGAGTTTTTTTTCAAAAATATTACTAAAATAAACTTATTTACACAAATATGACTAATAATTACTGCAACATAGTGTCATAGTAACTTTGGTCTAAAAATTGAACATAAGTTATTATGATTTCTTTACTACTCTAGTCACTAGTCATATTTTTATAAAAATCTTTACTTTAGTCATAAATATGTGATTATTTCAAGAAATTATAGTTCCTTCGTAACAATTATATCTTCTCATATGAGAAGTTGGTGAGATTATGAACAGTGAAATGAGATATAAACATGTGATTGTTTTGCCTTCAAATAATGAAGGAAAAATTCCCAAGATATGACTAAAACATATTGAGTTTCTCAAAGTATGAGTAACTATGTTTTTTCCCCGGAATATGACTAAAAATCGGGGGAAAAAAATCGTCATATTATAATGTGGAAGGATGAAAATGCTCTTATTTAAAAAAGATGCATTTTGCACAAATTTCAGTTGTGTAAATATATTGCACTTTATGAACGCATTATAACACAACATTTATAGCACTTTATGACGGCATTCACTGCACAACATATAATGCACTTCATGCACTTAAGTTATGGTACTTCAGTTTGTCCTTTTCTAGTTTTGATAATTTTAGTTTTTACGTTTAATTAAATCCAATGCACGTACTCCATGCGAGAGTTATGACAAAACATTACAAAAATGTTAGCATTTTATATTTTTTTAGATTTGATAATTGCAGTTTATATCAATGTTAATGCTCTACATTATTGCACTTTTTGTCAAAATCACTTTATATATGGTCATATCATTGCACTTCTTTGTCATAATCATTGCACTTCTTGTGATATTCACGACATTACATAAAAAATATTCATTGCACACTGTCCTCGATTGTCTTCAACCTAGGGTTCTTCAATCTTGGGTTCGTCTTCAACCTCGACCGTCTTGCTGAAGAATCTGAGTTGTTGGAGCGGCGGTCCGGCCATCACCATTCTTTGGCAACATTAATTATTACCCTAATTTCATTAAATAGAAGAACCCAACAAATCGTAATCTGAAGTGGCAAGAGATCAAGCACGCTGGTTGACGGAGGCACGAGGCAACTGTGCGGTGGGACGGCGGCGGCCAGGGCAAGGTCGGCGGTGGCGGTGGCGGCGAGTGCAGGCTGGACGTACGAAGGAGGAGAACACGCGACTGTGCAGTTAGACAAAGGTGATGAGGAGGCGGACGTACAACAAGACATCGGCTGGGCGGTGGCGGGGCAACAGAGGTAGGTGGCGGCTAGGTGGAGGCTGGGCGGGACAGCAGCGGCAGGCGGGTGTGCGTGAGTAGTGGGAAGCTAGAGGCTAGGGTTGGACAAAAAGAGTAAAAGGTTAGGGTTTTATAGACTTAACGTAAGGGGTATATTAGTCCATTAAAATTAATTATTTAATTATTAATTACGAAATTAATTAAATATAATTGATTTAAATATTATTTTGGGAAAAAAACTAGTTAGGTCATAGATTGGGAAAGTGGGGAAGTTTTACTCATACAACGGATAATTATTTCAATAATGAAATAGTATGTTGGAGCGAAAGATAAATCCAAAAATAGCAATTGTAATAGTGTATGAATTGTAATATTTTGGCAGTACCAGATTTCAGACATGACAGTATTTTCCAAACTTGAAAGTAATTACTCATATTTTGGAATAAAAAATATGACATTCATATTTTAGAATTTTCAAATTGTTTGAGTCCTATTTCGGAAACTTTCCCAAATAAGTAAGATTGAAATTACTTTTTGACTACATGACTTAAATTAGTGTAGAGAATCAGTTTTTCTTTATTTTATTAATGATGATAAATATTATAATTTTTTTTACAAGAATGAACCAATTTACCTAATTTAGTGTTGCCAACTCATGGTGTCCAAATTCCGAATGATAGAGTGAGATGTGAATGGCTCACCGGAGAGTTACCATCTGGTTTACATGTGGGGCTTTTTGTTTGTTCTTTCACATTGTAGATTTAATTTGTTGTATATATACCCACACATGGTGAGCTCAGTCAGTCAACCAATTCAATTATTAAAATCATTACGGAATATAGCAGCTAGATTGATTTGTAATAGAGAGAGAGGGGGAGAATATAATGCATCGGCGGTGGTGGACGGCGAGGGTGGATGCGAAGTTGTGGAGCGCGGGAGAAGATGCGGCGTGGGTGATATGGGAGGAGATGACGGGGCTCCGGGTGCCGGTGGCGGCGGCGCTGATGAACATTGCGGTGTGGGTGTGCCTGGCAATGTCCGGGATGCTGTTCGTGGAGCGGGTGTACATGGGGGTGGTGATGGTCCTGGTGAAGGTGCTTGGGCGGACGCCGGAGAAGCGCTTCCGGTGGGCGCCGCTGCAGCAGGGAGACGTCGAGGTCGGCAGCGCGGCTCATCATCCTATGGTTCTGGTGCAGATCCCAATGTACAACGAGAGAGAGGTTCGATTTCTTTCCCACACAACAATTAAATGAAATCGGCCGGCCAGAAGCCACCGGGCGGCGGCCGCAGCCTGCAGCAACAGCAGCAGCAGGCCGGCCCCCAAATAATAAAATGAGCCCAGCCCAGCCCACTAATAAAATGAGCTACTCCCTCTTTTTTTACCGTGTAGTATTAGTGGAGAATGAGGCACCCCAATAATTTGAATGAATATGTTTGGCCAATTGAATTGGATGGGTGTCCTCCGGCCACCAGAGGAAAAATGATGACAACATTAAATAGTCCGTACGTACGTACGTTCCTGGGGGAGGCGTGCCTATTGGGAAATTTACTTTCAAAAAAGTTATTTCTAACCATTTCTTGTACACTCACTCCTCTCTCCTTTGTGTTTCTGTAGACATGCAACTATGCAATTGATGTACAAAAAAATGTCTACAAGTAACACCATCCAATTTACTTTAGGAAAAATTGTCAAAAATAATCTCACCTTTCACTGGTCTTTTCATAATAATCTTATCTTTGCACTCCATCTTCTTTCATTGGACCATGATCATGTTTTTTACCATTTCTTTGAAAATTATACAAATAATCTCACCTTTCACTTTTTAATTATATCCTTATAAATGTGAGATTATTTATATAAGATTTTTAAAAAAGTTAAAAAAACTTGGTCAGGGTCCAATGAAAGAAGATAAGTGCAAAGGTGAGATTATTCAAAAGTGAGATTATTATGATAAAACCAGTGAAAGGTTAGATTATTCTTGTCAATTTTTCCTTTACATACTTGCATCTTTTCATTTTTCAAAATTTCTTCCTTTCAATAGCCGCTTTTGAATAAATTTGAGTGTAGCTTTTAATTAGGCCGGGAAGTTATGTAGCTCTAGGTTTTTGACACGTTAGGTGATAGATGGTTTAATACAAAAATCTTTTGGAGCCTCGAAATTGAAGATAATTTTTATAATGGAAACCGAAAAGATGAAACAAACACGATTGGAGTATGTAAGTACACAGAAACAATTCATTACTTTTGTTTTTATTTAACAGTCACCCTCTTGTGACATTAATGCTGAAATGGCAATTCTTGGTTTCCTTAGTGGTACTTCTTAGCTGGATTTATCACATAGTCCGATGGGGTCTGTTTTTGCATGCACATTCTATTAAGGAGTATTTAAATTTGGTCTAATCGAGTTTTATCTCCGTTTTATCTCTTTAAGTCTAGCTAAATTCTGAAACTGAAATGTGTTCTATAGAGTATAGAAACATACACATACTTAAATTTGGGGTTTAATGCATCAAAATCCTCTGTGACAGGAATTAGGTTTAATGCATCAAAATCCTCTGTGACATGATTATTCCTGTCCCGGAAATTCCGGACAGGAGCCCCGTCCGGCCTCCTCCATTTGGGGGCCTTCCCGGTGGTATTTTTTGCTCAAATTTTTTGTGTATGTTTCTCATCAAGTCTAGTTCATCCATACCAAATTTCAGCAAAACATTCAATCGGTAAGGTTGTCAAATGATTTTTGCAAGTTAACTGGTCCGGAATATGTATTTTCCAGACCAGTTAACTTGCAAAAATCATTTGACAACCTTTCCGATTGAATTTTTTGCTGAAATTTGGTATGGATGAACTAGACTTGATGAGGAACATACACAAAAAAATTGAGCAAAAAATACCACCGGGAAGGCCCCCAAAAAGGAAGAGGCCGGACGGCGCTCCGATCAGGAATTTCCTGACCGGAAGATTACTCTCCTCTGTGATATATCAAAATCCCCTGTCAAGATTGTTAAATTATACAAAAAAGCTAATTATTATTTTTATTTAATTGGCAATTAAATTTGTTCGCGGAGGGGCTTTTATGCATGACTAATTATAACACAAAGGACTTAAATGCATTTTTTAAATCACAGAGGGTAATACGCCTAATTTATAAATCACATGGGGGTTTAGTGCATTAAACCCCTTAAATTTGTGTCTAATAAAAACATACTATCTTCATCTCTTAAAACTTTGTCATTCTTGGCTTTTTTAGTCAACGGTATTAAAATTAACACAATAATTTTGATTGGTGTAATGTTAAATTCATTGGCAAAAAAATCAAAGAGAGTAGTGTTATAACAGCATCTCCAATTCTTTGGGTGGATTGGTGCTTAGGTGTACAACAAACGAAGATGGTGTATTGAAAATGTGAGACAAAAGTAAGGGAAAACTGTGAATTTGGTCCTCGTACTATCATGAAAAGTTAATTAGGTCCTCGTAGTTAAAAAAAATCAATCAAATCCCCGAACTTTAAAAAAATGTTCAATTCAGTCTATTTGCAGGTCACCAGCTGACATGACACACATGTGGCAGCCCAATTAGCAGTAACTTTGATGACACGACGCACATGTGAAAATCCAGTCAGCATGGCTCACACGTGGTCCGCCATGTATGCGCCACATCAGCGGATGACCTGCTGACATGACAAGTAACCTGCAAACGGACTCAATTGAACGTTTTTATAAAATTCGGGGATTTGATTGATTTTGTAAAAAGTACGATGACCTAATTAATTTTTTCGTGATTGTACGAGTACCATATTGATAGTTTTCCCTAAAAGTAATTGAATGAGAGGGTCTATTAACAGCCTACTCCAATGCGGATGAGAAGCAGTGGTGGATCTTGGACATTAATTTTGAAGGTTCTGAGGTGTTTGTATACATGTATTTTTACACAACTAGTTACAAAGTTTGGATGTTCACAAGAACACTTCTGAACAAGCATAGGTCCGCCACTAATGGGAAGGCTGTGCAAAATCAAACTCATTATTGAAACATTCAACCTAGCAAGGAGGAGGTGAAACTGAAGGTCCCAAAGTAGACCTCGTAATGCACCATGTGCATTGCCATCTAAGATGAATCTAATTCATTTCCTTTTGCATTGGAGAGTGCATTTTCTCACAAATGTTCTATTTGGTAAGGTGGATCACTGGATGACATTTTTTTTTGACAATCAACCTCCCATGCAAGATGCTTAATTAAAGGGATCAAGAGACTAACATTCAAAAGAACACTACTCTTACAATCTACAACGCCAAAAATGAGATGACCATTTTGAATTATATAAAAGGACAACACAATATTTCTTTCTTTCACATATGTATTGGATTAATTGGAAGAATTGCCAAAAACTTTTGCCACAATGTTATTGGCACAACACTTACATATTAACCACTAACAAATAATCCACTGAAATTGATGAAATTTTGGTTGGAACGGTTGAATTGCTTTAATCTGGAAAATTATAGTGACAATCTTTATATTACTAAAATAAAGAAAAATTATATGGAAAATATCTAAAATTGTCATCTATAGTAACTTCAGTCAATTCAATCAGAAAAGTAACTCTAATCTTACTTTGATTGTTACACAATTTAGCGCATGAAAAAAAATTACGTATTTGGTAAGAAAATCAACTTACAAGATCGATAAACCAAAAACATGAGTCACCAAATGAGCCTAAGAGTTATTCTATATATTCCATTATCTTTATATTTGTTCATCTCATATTATATTTAATAACATTTGTATACTTTTAATTCATTGTACTTTATTGAACTGTACAATTTCAAACTGCATATCATTTGTAACTAACTCTACATTTTTAAATTGCACAATTCCTCTTATTGGAGTACCAATCTTACAAATTATGCCTCCGTTATATACTCTGTATAAACTACTTCTCCCTAAATGTTTGTCCTATTTTCTCGAAATGGATGTCCCAAAATGTTTGTCCTACTTTTTTCTTTCCTTAATTGGAAAACAAATCTTTATCAAACAGTGTCAAACAATGTCGCTGCAATGTCAAACAGTGTCGCTACAGTGTAAAGTCAAATTGATTTCTTTAATATCTGTGAAGTCAAACTAGGGCAAACATTTAGGGACGGAGGTAGTATGACTTTGTTAGAACTTTTTAAAAGTTGTCATACTTTTGGATTCATCTTTTTATTGATTCACTTAACATCCACGGGTACCACATAGACGTGGACCAAGTCCGGTTCCGCCCATTCTTGATCACGCGTTGGCCGGGCCTTGGTGGAAAAACAAAGGAACCGGAACCAAGACATCTATTATTAGTTCTCGGCCGGTTACCCCAGGCGGTCCCGATCCGATCCCGATCCCAATTCAATCGGTGTTTATTTTAATATTTTATTTTTAAACTTTCCCGAGCATGTATGCATAAAGAAAAAAAAGTCCGAATGGGGACTCAGGTTAACTTTATTTCAATCTTATCATAAATTGTTTTGTAACATGTATAGGTGTACAAGCTTTCGATAGGAGCAGCATGTGCACTTTCTTGGCCATCCGATCGAATCATAATCCAAGTTCTTGATGACTCCACCGACCCCATTGTTAAGGTAACAATAAATTCTGCATTCATGTCGTTCCTTTTCCTTCATGCCTACACCTCCATTGCATTTACTTTGACCATTTTCAATTTTCTAGCCTAGGTACAATAAACGTGACTTTGTTCTTTGAAATAACCATAACTATTTTCCACCGGTTTACTCTTTTCTTTCTTCTATCCACTTTTTCCAACTTTTCAATAACCAAGTTTGAAAATGAATCTTGGGCCATCTGTTTTTACTTCTCCAAGCAACGTGCTTTTAGTATCTGGTTTATTAATAAAAAGAGATTGGTTGTCTTTCTTCTTGAAAAATATCATTGTGGAAAAGATTCTTTTATATTTTTCTCAGTTTAGCATAGCAAAGTATTCTTGCCCATATTCGTTTTGTTGTAGTCTAACATTTTTCTGTATGTAGAACAATTAATTGTTCTTTAATTATTCCAATTAAAGTTACTTCATTCGTCTCATTTTACGTGTCTTACTTTCCTTCTTGGGTTGTCCAAAAATAAGTGTCACATTTTCCTTTCGGAAAGAAATATGTGGTCTATTTCTCTCCAAAAAAAGAAATATGTAGTCTATAACATTTCACTTTATTATACACAAATTGTAAGGTGTAGAGACTATATACCAAACCCATTTCGCCGATCCAACTATGGGCCCGAGACTGTATAAGGTCGAATTTTTTTTGGGTCTTTCATATTATGGGCCCGCGAGTTTACTGATTGGGGTTAGGGTTATATTCTCTTTAAATACCCGCTCTCTCATTGTAATCATTATCAGAAAATAATAGTAACATCCTGGCTTGGTAGTGCCCCCAGATGTAGTCATTCTTGACGAACTGGGTAACCAAACTCTTGTGTTTTCTTATTGTTTTTCGTATTGTGCGTGTGTTATATCCTAACAATCAAAACTTTTATCCTTTCAACCACTTTATTAATAATACAGTGGAACGAAGGTAGTATTTTATTGGAAAACAAATTGACCCATAATTTGACCATATTTTCTGAATATGAAGAAAACAAAATAGGATGCTTTCACTTTGGCTGAAAATTTGTGTTCTGGTATAAACTGTTTTTTTAGTTTCTATAATCTATATTTGATCTAGTCTGTTTTAATTTTGGGGTGTTTGAATCTACTTTTTAAATCAGATTCTGCAGAAGTAATTGATGTTTGGGTGAAACTATAGAAGTAAATTTGCGTGCTCAAGTTGTTCCTTGAATCCGGTTATGCTTCTGAACCATAAACATAATCAAGTATTATTATGTATGTGTAATTTTACAATTGCGAAATAGAGAAACCAATGCCTCACTGCCTTGTCCCTTTTAACTAGCTTCTGTCACGCTCGTAATAACTAGCTACACGATGATGATGTGTCAATTTGCCCGGCCCGATCATTTTCTGAAAGACCCCGATTTGTTGTGGTCTCCACTGTCAGCCGAATCTTTAGCCACGATGAGGAAGATGAACTTGTAGTACCCCTCCAAAATATCGATCCATGTTAAAGAATTCATCGTGTTAGGTAGTTCTTTCATTGAAATAACAATAACTATTATCCACTTTTTGTGGTGCACCGACAACAAAAATTCATCCAACTAAATTCAATAAAAATTCATAAAAAGAATTAATTGTCATAAAAACCAGTAAATTCAACTAAATAATATCTAACTTACAAGGAATTCATATAGCTTAAACTAGTACGTAACAAATAGCACACATGTTGAGCGTTATTCCTCTAGGTTCAAGGGCTAAACACATTCCCTTAGATTTTCTAAGGAGTTTAATGAGTTGAACATATTTTAGTGTATAAGTAACTGTTTTGTGCATGTTTGGTATACGAAGTATATAATTTAAGTATGGAGTCCCGTTCCTATCAGGAGCTCCTGAAGAGAAGCTCTGTGCGGACAAGCCAATCAGAGGGTCTTCCCGATGGATTTTTTTGATGAAATTTTTTGAGCATGTTCCTCATCAAGTCTAGTTAGTTCATACCAAATTTCAGCTAAAAATTCGATCGGGAAGACAGTCAAATAAATCCTGGAAACATACTGCACATTATATGTGCGCAGAATGCGTCATATTTTACCAGGATTTATTTGACTGCCTTCCGATCGAATTTTGAGTTGAAATTTGGTATGGACAAACTAGACTTGATGAGGAACATGCTCAAAATATTTCATCAAAAAATTCGACCGGTAAGACCCTCTGATGGGCTTGTCCGCACGGGGCTTCTCTTCAGGAGCCCCTGATGTGAACTGCCCTCTATAAGTCTATGCCTTCTAGCTTTTGTACTGTTTAAAAAGTTTCTAAAAGCTTCTGGTCGTATGTTTAGCATCACAATTTTTAAGGGCTTTTGAAAAAATAAAAGATCTTTTTTGAGATGCTACAGGGAGTGACATCTGAGAAAAGTCTGTAACTTTTAGTATTAATTATTCATAACAGCTTGTATAACAAACAGAACTAAATCAAACAGTCAGTTTTTTACCAAACAACTACCACCTTTTCGATCTAAGATCTTTTCAATCACTAAATCTAACAATTACTAAAAATCTCTCAAAAGTATCTTTTCAACTAGTTGTACCAAACATACCCTTTGTGGCATAAGTACTTAGTAAGAAGGAGTAAAAAGGTAAGTGGGTCAAGTTTTATTGAATACTTAGAACAATTACGTCACACCCTATCGACCCAAGTACCAAGCCTCTATTCTAAGGTGAAAGTACAGAAGAAGTAGAGAGAAAGACTAAAGATATTGAATGAATACAAGTTGGCAATCCTTTACAATGAAATAAATGCTTCTATTTATACTACCATGAGGTATGTGGTGGTGGTGATGTGGCGAACCTTGAGTAGCTAGCCTCCAACCATAAAATCTTCCACATCTGGTGCATCAAATGCGCTTCCCGCCAATTCTTCCGAGGTTGCGGATTTAGAGCTTTCCAAAGATGGCCAAGACGGAAAATTCAAGGATCTTGTGTCATGCGGCACATGCTGCACGGCCCTAGGTCATTATTGGGTTTCTGGACTCACTCATCCGTATGGGTATTGGATCGATATTGTGTTGGGCCTGACAACACATATATAAGAGCGAGTAGTTTTCCATGAAAAGTTAGAACAAATTTTGGCCTTTAATTATTTTTATAAATAGTAATCTTGATAGCATTATTTTTTTATAAATTCTATTTGAATAATATCTTTAATGGGCTTCTATCTAGTTTGAAAATGAATGATGAGTTGAGTGTTGGTTTTTGTGTGTTGGAAGAATATGGTGGAGACGGAGTGTGCAAGATGGGGAAGCATTGGGGTTGACATAAAGTACGAGATCCGAGACAACAGGGACGGGTACAAAGCGGGGGCGTTGAAACAGGGCATGAAGCGAGAGTATGTGAAGCAGTGCGACTACGTCGTCATCTTCGACGCTGACTTTCAGCCCGACCCCGACTTCCTCCTCCGCACCATCCCTTTCCTTGTCCATAATCCTGACCTCGCCCTCGTCCAGGCTCGCTGGAAATTCGGTACGTCGTACCTCCCTAAACTTCATTCATTCTAATACATTTCTAGCAGATTTTTTTAATTGGATAAGCAGCTTTTAAATAAATTTCTAGCGTAATTGATTTATTAATTAACCTTTTTTGTGTACACATATTTGTACATTTTCACGTCTATACGGGCAATTTTCTAAACGAGTTGTCTGTCTATACAAGGTATTAGGAGGTGTGGTGTACGCACTTCACTAAAGAGGTTGTTTGTGTATACAAATTAGTGTGTACAGTGTACAATTCTTCTTTATCAACAGAGAACAGTTATGTGGAGAGCCTTATGGATTATAGAATGAATCCCGAATTGAAGTTTGTTACAAATTAGTAGTTTTTCAATCCCGAACACAATATGAACCTAACATTCATGATTCACCTATTCGGTTGTATGCATACTACTAACAGCTGAAAATATTTCATAAAAAATACTTATAATCAAACATAGCGTCTCCAACTTTAACTCCCAAAATCTAGTCGTATTTGATTGAGTCGGTGTGTATAGTATATTGTGACATGCTCCCCCATCCCGGAAACCAGTTTTCACTTTCCTTGTTTGGATGTCTAAAATAAACTTCTCATTTCTTTATTTAGCAAATTATCTATACATAACAATGTCAAACAGTATAAAACAGTAAAATTAAGCCTTCATGTGGAGATGATCATTGGATGCATGTGTGAATATTGCGCTTGAGACATACATTAATGACAGCATTCGTGGTGGGCCAATGGAATTGGGCCGCGTATCATTTTGTTGGGTTCCAAAATGTGTACCCTACGTACCAACTCTGGACCACAATTTACCATATAGTGCCGGCAACACTGTACTGTACAATCCATCACCTATGTTTTGACTTATGTGCATGCGGTAGTTAGATTTATCTTCAGTATCATTATTTAAAACATTATTTAGATTCTCTTTAGTGACATTGCCAACTAGTTTATTCGGCAAATATCTAATCTTGATTTCACGCGAATTGTGTGTAATGAATTAAAACAAATCTTGACTGAAGTTATTTATAAGATCACTTGTTCACATAATTTTTTCCTTCATTTCATTAATAAATTAAATTTTGCACTTACATTTTATATATTTTAGCAAATTGAATTTCACAAATTTCATTAAATTCAGTTGATTAAATCAATTTCAGTATTACTTAACGGGCTCTTAATTTGAAGAAAGATTAATATTATGATTGAGGAAAGATAGAAATAAGTCGAATAAAAAATTCATATTTAAATCAGGAAACTATAAAAGTTTTTGAATCATATAAAAGGAAAAGTTGACAAAGTCTAATGTGGCAGAAAGAGAGTATTAAATTGAAAGTTTTCAATCGTTCAAACATGCTTATATTGAAATTCGAAGAGATTGTTTTCATCTTTTAAATCCGTTGATAAATATAATGGTATCCTGGATCCGTATATATGTTAGTTATATAGTGCGCATGCAGTATGTAGAAGATGATAGGTAAGTTGTGTGCAGTGAATGCGGACGAATGCTTGATGACGAGAATGCAAGAGATGTCACTGGATTATCACTTTACAGTGGAGCAAGAAGTTGGCTCTTCCACCTATGCTTTTTTTGGCTTCAATGGTACATACGTCCCTTCACTTATTCATTGCCTTCCGCACCAATAATTATACATATTTTTGTTGCCCCGCCCACCGCCCGCTACTTACGCTTACCTCTTTATATTATATATATACATCAAAGTTATTGCTCAAAACATGTTTAAATTATTTTATTTAATTATTATCTGCAGCGATGGAGGCAAGACTGCCTCAAAGGAAAAAGATTGTGATAAATATTTATATCAGTAAAAAAGATATAATGAAATTTTAACCTTTCACCTCTAATATAAATTATTTGAATCCCGACCACGCCAACATGCCATTTCTAGCTCCCCAACTAATTGTTCACATAATCGTGTTATTTTTAAATGGAAACCTTAAATCCGGACAGGGAGAGATATATATAGACAACTAAATAACTAATAACACAAACACAAGGGAAATAAAGGACTTGTTTGGTGACCCGTGTTTTCAACTTATCACTCTTTTCAACCAATTCTCCCACAGATCACTGCATGTAGGGCCCGTTTTGTAACACTGACAGTCCGTCTGGTTTGGTGACCCTTGTGTTTTGTATCAAACACGTAACTTTTGATTTCGTGCGTTGAATTGTATAATAATCAAAATAGGTAAGATTTAATTTATTTTTCTGACTGAATTTACAAGAGAGAATCATTTTAGCTATTTTTATTATATTTTTCTTTATTTTATTAATAAAATATACTAGTATTGTAAAAATAATTCTTTTCATAATTTATCAAAAATAGCTAATCTGACTAGTTCAGTCACAAATTCATAAATTTCAGAATCAGACGATTAAGTCAAATTTTAGTGTTATTGTTGTGGATGGATGAATGATACGTGGAACGTATATCATAGACAGACTTTTCTGAAGTTTGTTAATGCGTATGGAGAATGTAGGAACAGCAGGTGTTTGGAGAATTGCTGCCATTGATGAAGCAGGTGGATGGAATCATCGGACGACAGTTGAGGATATGGACTTGGCTGTCCGCGCAAGTCTTAAGGGGTGGAAATTCTTGTACCTTGGTAACATCATGGTAAATAAATTGCGTTTTCCCACTCCTTAGCTAGATACTTAGAGCCCATTTAATTGATAACCTTCAAATTGGTTGAATCGATTAATTCTGCTGAAATTTATGAAGTTCTGACTAAAGTGATTGTCAAAAAGTAACTTAAACCTTACATTTTCTTATTATTACACAATTTAGCACGCGAAATCAAAGTCAAATAGGTGGTACGGTGTAATAAGTGTTATTATTAGATTATTATTATTCAACTCAAAGTTAAAAAGTTGAGTAATAAGTCTAATAAGCCAAAAAACAAAGTCAAATATTGGTACGGTGTAGTACTTATAGATTATTATCATTGTTATTATTACGTACTACTACTCTAGATCTCTACGGTCGACCTAACTAGAATTTTCTTGTAGGTGAAAAATGAATTGCCAAGTACATTTAAGGCCTTTCGCTATCAACAGCACAGATGGTCATGTGGCCCAGCCAATCTCTTGAGGAAAATGTTCATGGAGATAGTTAGAAACAAGGTTAAGTATTCCTATTGGTAATGACATCTTTTTTTAATGATAAAAGACCTATGCATTAAGATAATAAGAGCATTCAAAACAGTGACCAGAAAGCTGTTACTGCGCCGATCACAAAGTAAATTTATTGAACCACATATGATTCCCAAGCCATATTTCTAGGCAGGTACTGTGACCGTCCCAACCCTGTTTTTGGGTCCTCTGCTTCCATCATGGCCTGACCATCCGCCATCAACACTTCCTTGAACACTTTGAAACTGTATTCTTGGTGATAAAATTACCCACTAGCGACCAAAGATAAAATAGCATGAGAAAGATAAAATATAAAAATAACATACGGAGTAAGAGCATAGCAAGATAAGAAAGATAAACGATAAAAAAAATGAAAGAAAAGACAGCAAAGAGATCAATCGTCCACCCGAATGTGTGTGCGTCCTCAACTCTGCTCTCGATCTCCAAATCCATACTCTGAGGCAACCCAAAAAGCATATCAATTCTGATTGTTCTAATCCAAGTCTTCTCCTCCCTCTCATCCCCGCATCTTCTCCACACCTCTCAAGTCGTCTGGGGTATCAAAATACTCCCTCATCCTCCTTTCATTAACCATATTTGAATTTCCATTGACCGGGGACATGTTTTATACGTAAGTATTTGTAATATGAAAATGACAAGAAAGTATGAGATATGTGATATGAACCACTACTTCTGCGGCGGCGGTATATATACTGATGATCGATATTGGGCGCATTGCAGAATGTGAATCTGTGGAAGAAGATCTACGTATTATACAGTTTCTTCTTCGTGAGGAAGGTGATAGCCCACATTACCACGTTCGTGTTTTACTGTGTAGTGATGCCCACAGTTTGTCTGGTGCCTGAGGTGGACGTTCCCAAATGGGGCGCCGTTTATATTCCCGTCATCATCACTCTCCTCAACAGTGTGGGAACTCCCAGGCCAGTTCACTTCATTGAAATATATATATATATATCGTATATACTATACATTTCACCTCCGATCCGATCATTAATTAATTATATAATTTTTGTATATTTATGATTTATAGGTCTTTTCACTTGATATCTTTCTGGCTACTGTTTGAGAATGTGATGGCACTCCATCGCACAAAGGGTACCCTCATAGGGTTGATGGAGATCGGGCGGGTGAATGAATGGATTGTCACTGAGAAATTAGGGGACGCCAAACCAGCTTTCAAGTTCAAATCAATTGGGGAAGCTTTTAAAAAACCACGCTTTAAGATTGCAGAAAGGTAAGTAAGTACGCGCGTAATATAATTCTTTCTCGCCCATCCAACATCACACGCATTACATCTATTTCAAACTTTACACCTTGCCCAATAACTAATAAGATTTGTGACCATTTTATCCATTCACAACTTCAAAGATAAACTAACTATCAATAATTAAGATTGTGACTAATTATTCAAACTATTAATAAAAGATCTAAAATATCATTGATTTTGATTTTATTTATTTATTTTATTGCTAATTTGTTATAATTTTCTCATCACAAAAGTTTTTTGGGCTTATAAAACTAAAAGATGTTTAAAATGAAAAAAGGAAAACTGTCAATTTGGTCCTCGTACTATCACGAAAAAATCAATTAAGTCCTCATATTTTTTTAAAAAAATCAATCAAATCCCCGAATTTTGAAAAAATGTTCAATTGAGTAACCCGCAGGTAACTCAAACGTTGTGCCCCACGTTAGCGGGTTACCTGCTGACGTGCCAGTTAACCCACTAATTGTTGTACTCAATTGAACATTTTTTCAAAGTTCTGAGATTTGGTTGATTTTGTTTTAAGTATAAGAACTTAATTGACTTTTTTATGATCATACGAGAACCAAATTGCCATTTTTCCTAATGAAAAATAAATAAAATACATGATATCTTAAGTCTTTGACCGGATCGAAATTAAAGTTTTCAATCGTTTTGTGACTGATATTGATGATAGTTAATCTATTTTCACATCTTTATTTGATAGGAATTTTTGCCATTTTTGCTCCCTCGACTATTATGTCAATGACAATTTTGGTACTCGACATAATAGTCGAGGGAGCAAAAATGGCAAAAACTCAAGAACTAAATATGAAACTTTTTAAAGACGAGTACCAAAAGTGTCTCCAGCGCAATAGTCAAGGACTAAAAATGGAAAAAATCAAAGTTGAGTACCAAAAATATGAATGACATAATAGTCGGAGGACTAAAAGTGGAAAAAACTCTATTTGATAGTTAATCGTGGCAAAGTTTACCACAAAATAAAATTATAAATACAGATTTGATAACAACGTACTGATTTGGGAGGACAATTAACATGCACTGCACATACATCACTCCAAATAAACCACGCTGGAGAAGGATGTAATAGATGGTCTCAAACGCTGCCCAAATATGAGTGCCAAACACTCGATCAGCTAGAATAAATTAATTAAATGAAGCCATCTAGATTACCTAGCTAGCTCGATCACTCCAAAAGAATCATGAAATTGTGAGGATTACTTTTACATTAAAATATTGAGCTTAAAAATCAGCACACATGACAATGATATGACTGCGGGCGAAGGAGATGGAGTTACCAAAATGAAAAACGTACTCTTGTTTGTCCATATAGTGATAGTTACTCTTAATGAGTCACGTTTTAATGTATAAATTTGAATATTTTAGGGAAATGAAAGTGTTTTTTTATTGAGGGTGATGATTTTGTAATGGAAGTGCAGAGTCCATGTGGTAGAGGTTGGGATGGGTGTATATCTGACGATTTGCGGGTTGTATGACCTGATATATGGGAGGCAGTTGTATTTTTGGTACATTCTTCTTCAGGGGATGGCTTTCTTTATCATTGGATTCGGATATGTGGGCACCATCGTTTAGCAAATTACGTACGTACGTACGTGCTTCAATTCAATTGTTTTCGATCTCAAGAAAATTTTAATGCTCAGCGGTTTCAATGCATGGAGATACAATTAAATAATAGAGATCGAGAATATGTTTAGAGCTAGCTAGGGTTAATTAGCTATTGGACGTATGCATGCATGCTTTGAATCCCAGGGGCTAGCCAAGGGGAATTGAAGTACGTACGTAGAGAAAGGGCCGGCCTCATCAGCTCTTGCATGCTTCTGCACCACATCATTTCCAGTAAATTAATTGTACCATTCGTTTTTACTATTCATTTTATAAATAAATAAATAATTCTGTAATTTGCTTGGCTTCCCTCTTTAATTTGTATGCAATCATGTAAAAAGAACATTGTTTCCATCATTCATATTAATTCTTCAGTTCGATCAGATGAATAATATAATGAAAGCAAGATTAATCAATCAATACCATCAAAGTCCAGTTTTTTCACGTCATAATAACATGCAATGTATCCATCATAACTTATTATCTCTTATTGCGGAAGAGCTAGCCTTTTGTCTAGAGTTGTGTGCGCCTTTTCCTCCGACTTTTTGGAATCGCATGCAATATCAATCGTTTTTCTAATTCGCTCCATGGATTGTGCTTATGTTTCTATTCAAAGATGTCTGACCATGTGCGGAGCTAGGGGTGGGCCAAGGCCATGACCCACCAAATTTTAAGAATAGCTTAACTTTTAAGGTAAAATATTTCGTGTAAATTTTTTTCTAACAATATTCTTTGTGCCGGTCCAGTGCCCTGGCTCTGCCCCTGTGTATGACATTCCTTCAACCCTAGGTCTATTTGTGTAAAAAATCATCATGGATCAAGAATGTTCACCTCAATCAGGCTCCCTTGGCCCGGCCACCTCGGCAAGGACATTCAACGAATAACTTTACTTTGTACTTAGTGGAATAAATGCATGTAAATAGCCTATTAATGGTCCATTATTTTATTCGGATCTCCAGGGTCCAAGACCTGGGAGCCCAATTCATATTTCTCCAATAAATACTCCCCTTAGGAGCAATGTGAAAGGTTAAATATTTATTTATACAAATCGCTTCTCTCTAGCTCTCTTTTCTCTCTAGAATATTACTCTATCATTTGGTGTTTTCATTGAAAGTTAGAACACATCAAGTGAGATCATCCTAACCACTACACCTAGGATGAATTGAGGAATATCACACCTCGACCCGAACACGTCGAGCCAAGCGAGGAATCACAAATAACCTCCATGGCTCCATCCCCTCGACCAAGAAGTGTCCGGTGTCCCCTTGACCTTAGTCACACCAGGGACCCTTGATCGAAATAAACAAGGCCGCGATAAGAGAACAACAGGGTCAAGATCTGATTCCTCAGTCAAACTCAAACAAAATAAAAGAAAAAGAAGTTGGTAGGCTCCTTAGCGTCGACGTCCTCATATATATTTAGACGTGATCCCAACGTCTTCAAGAATTCATTTGAATGTCTTCCCGATTGAAGTTTTAGCTGAAATTTGGTATGAGTAAACTAGACTTAATGAATAAGATGCTAAAAAAATTTCATCAAAAAAATCCACCGGGAACTGCCCCAATTGGCGGCGGCCGGACAGAGTCTCCTATATAAGGGCTTATTTGACCTTTTTTTTATTAGTACGTGGGCTTATTTGCCCCTTTTCTCTATAAAATGTCACGCCCCGGACCTCCCCGGACACGTCAACAACCCGCCGTACAATACGAATAGTCAACCGCAGTCCAACACATTCATATTATACAAGGCGTCTTGAATATCATTCACACACATAACATCCATAAACAAACATAATAAGTAATTCATAACGCAGCGGAAAACATTGTTTAAAACAAAAGGGCCACACAGGGTTATTCATGAGCACGCAGGCTCTTTAGTAAAATATCCATGAGCATGCTTAATATTGTTCAAAACAGAATGGAGAAGGCACGAACCACGTCTTCTCTCCAAAGGATCACCCGAGCAACGGGCACAGGTAGCAAGCTCGAGCCTCAACCTGAAATGGTGGTGGGACGCCCCCGAAGGGGTCAGTACTCTATACGGCTATAAAGTACTGGTGTGGATGGCATCTAAGGGATATACAACAAGTATTTCAAACACAAGACGCTCAAATAGGGTGATAATACAATATAGTGGTAACCCTAAGTTACCCCGTTTGAAAATATACTTTCTTTATATAAAAGTCAAGTAGTCAGCCCGTGGGCCCATATTCATTTAGAAATCACCATTCCCGTTCCCCGTGACTATAAGCCACGACAATTCACAGAGTTCATCACATTACCATTGCATAGCAAGAGCTCGGCCCAACTACATTTCTATGCAATCTTTTATGTCAAGTACATCCTATCACATTTGCATAGCAAGGGCTCGGTCCAACTACATTTCTATGCAAATCACAATTTACATGGCAAGGGCTCGGCCCAACTACATTTCCATGCAAATCACAATCACATCCTATCACATTTGCATAGCAAGGGCTCGGCCCAACTACGTTTCTATGCAAATCACAATTTACATGGCAAGGGCTCGGCCCAACTACATTTCCATGCAAATCACAATTTACATGGCAAGGGCTCGGCCCAACTACATTTCCATGCAAATCACAATCACATCCTATCACATTTGCATAGCAAGGGCTCGGCCCAACTACATTTCTATGCAAATCACAATTTACATGGCAAGGGCTCGGCCCAACTACATTTCCATGCAAATAACAATTACATCCTATCACATTTGCATAGCAAGGGCTCGGCCCAACTACGTTTCTATGCAAATCACAATTTACATGGAAAGGGCTCGGCCCAACTACATTTCCATGCAAATTACAATTACATGGCAAGGGCTCGGCCCAACTACGTTTCCATGCAATCATAAAGTCCGGCTCTAATTCTTCATTATAGTCCAATTCTTAAGCAAACCTATGCCTAGAATTGACATCTCAATAATCTACCTTGGGTCATTCTTAATGACTTCCCATAACTTACCCTTAGTTTCATACTAAGTCATCTTATACACTTGAAGTACATTCAAGTGCATTTCATGCAATCCAATACTTAGGATCAATTCTATCAACAATTTCAAATAACCACTAACTAGTATTTCAATACTATTAAGATTATTGTCATCATACAACATCCTCATTTTGTATTCTCTACATATTTATAAGTATGTAGCAGCAACTTAAATATTCAACTTCAATACATAAATATCCATTTATGTATCCACATATTTAATACATGAGTAAAATGCCTATTTCACCAAAATAGTTCATTAATAACTCATTAAATCTCATATTATCCATACAACTTCAAATTATTTCCAATTTCATTCTTTGGCCACTATATCAATATTTTATCAATATTCAATCATCATAATTCATGAAAAATTATGATTTAGGCATTTAGGTAATCTCATGCTTAACCTACAAGTTGTAAGCAATTAGATGTCGATCCTCACCTTAATTGAGCTTTAAACTCTTCCTTCTTGATCCAACGGTCAAAGCTTCGGTTAAGGTGGATTAAGAACTGATTCCTTGCTTAAATATGAGTGTTAAACAGTCTTCTCAAAGTGCTATCTCAACCCCTAAATGTCGATACGAAAACAGCCCCTAGAACGAGTGTCTTTCCGGCAAATTCGTTCCCTAACCTTTCAAGGTTTTGTCTAGGTTAGTATCTAACCTTTCCAACAATTAAAGTCACTATATAATAACATTTTATACACTTCAACCAGTTTATAATAGCTCTTCAATCATTCATATGATTTAGACAATAGAGAGGAAGGTTTTGGATTCAAACTTACTTTGAATACAAAAACGTATTCTGCGAGGTTGTGTTTTGTTCAGACGATTTGGAGGCCTTAAACTGCTCCGTTTCCTTCAACCCGCACGTCTATGGATCCCTCTTCTTGAGAGATTTCACTGGACACCTCACACGCCCCTTTTGGATGAGTATTTCTCAAGATACGAACCAAACAGTGAGCTCCATGAACTGGAGATTAACCCTGCGGCCAGCTCCCTTATCTCTTTCCCTTTTGAGTGTGAGGCTCTCCCTTCTTTCTTATCCCTTTCAGTTCGAATGGGGGGTGAGGGGGAGGTGTTTAGGAGCTCTCAAAATGATATCTAAGCATGTGGTTCACAAAAAGAAAGGGTAGGCTGTTTGATTGCAATTAAACATGGTGTGGACCTCCTCTTTTATTTCCTTTTTGTAATGGTGTAGCTCTCAAGTCAAATGTCCGCCCCACATAGTTGTCTCACCCATTTTTCTTTGTCTTGCAGGTACCAAGGTCATGTGGGATGGTTCCCAAATGATCCCATTCAATTTGGGGTCCAAAATACCTACCAATACTTCCAAAATGAAAAGATGGACCCTATTGTTTTATCCTTGTCATGAGATGTCTTTTTGTACTCCTTATAATTTATGTAGGCCAAGTCAACTTCATACATCATATTATTGATTCCCAATATGTGTAGGATCATCCCAATAACTTACATGATGAATATTATAGAAGGAAAATCTTACTCCCATTATTTAGCTCAATAATGTCGAAGATGGGACCATAGGCATTTGTATTCTTCTCTATACATTCTATCACTTATTTTGACATTTGTCATTTATATTATTGGACTAATAGTCGTGTGGGTCACCCCCGAGTGGGCCTCAGACGCCCTTCTTGAATACTTACTATTTTTAGCAGGTTGGGCCCAAAATAATACTTGGGCCGCCCGACCTTCCTCAACTTGTCTTGAAAGGTTATGTAACCTTGTTTAGGTAATGTTGGGCTCTTATGTTCATTAATAAGGCCCAAATAAGTATTTGCAAACCCGACACTAATATACGAGTTTGAACAGTACAATAATCAATCATGCGCTATGTAAAACATTAATCGTTTTACAATTGTTTGGAAATCGGAAATTCAATACATAGACATTAAATTTTTAAATTGAATTTTCAAGGACGTTCGGGTGTGTGTCACATAAAAATTACAGTACTACTAGTGAAATAGTCACCTGATTTGTTCTTTTTTGGAGTTCACAAGAGTCAACTTTAGATATAAAATAAGACGTAACAAATATAAATACAAAAGCAAAAGAAAAGGAAAGTTGAGGACTGCATGGAGAAGAACCATACGGTCAGTAGAAAAGATAAGCAGTGAGTGTTGAGAAATAAACTTAAAATGAAATCAAATTATAAAATAACATGGTTGTATGGTGAGATGTATGGTTGTCACCATACAACCAGGTGTGTTGGGTTAATGGCCCAATTGAGGGATCGGCCCATGAATCCCTATCTTAGATGAACGTCTGGTCATAACAGTGGCAGATCTTATCTCACAGGCCCAAAGGCCAGAGGACGAACGTCGCCACATGTGGCCCGCTACTCAGAGGGGTCCAATCAAAAACTACACATCATATTCTACACAAGGGCCAAACCATGCACGGCCCACAACCCTTTGCAGTATCATCAAGGCAAGGCCCCAGTCCGAGGGAGACACTCATCTCCACAAGTTGGGCGGGAAACCCAGATTCTGGCGGGAAGCGCATTTAATGTTGGAGATTTGGTGGTTGGAGCCTCAGCCATTCACAACTCTCCACGTCAGCATAGCCAACTGCGCATTGGTGGTATAAATAGCAGCATTTATTTCATTGTAAAGGGTTGGCAACTTATCAGCCTTAGCACTCTAGTTTATTCTCAGCTCTTAGCTTATTACTCGCAGCTCTTCTGTTGAGGTGTAAGACAAACGGCCTTCAGCCTTAACAAGCGTATTGTATCGGGGTTTATTAGACATTAATAATATCCGGTCCTTTTACTTGCTTATAACTTCTTAGTCCATCTTACTTGCTTGTTGGGTCACATACTCTCTCAGACATAAAATATCCACTCGAAACCTTTGGGCTTATGTGTTGGATTAAAGGTTGAAGGAATAAACCTCAACAAGGTGTATAGTATAAGACCTTGTAGTTTAGTCTCGTTTAGACTCAAATACTTGTTTAATGTATCATCAAACACTTAATAAGCTAGATCAATGAGATCAATCTATTAACATATCAAGTAGTCATATATTAGAGTATCACTTATTAAGGTGATCAGGAGCAGATTCGGGAATCAGGGCTGGGTAGGAGCTAGGTTGTGCTATAGAATAATTGTACTAGACTTAAACATTAGTGGACTAAATATGAAATCAAGCAATTTACACGAAAAAATTGATTATTTTAGATTGTCATATGTTTCAACCAACCATAACCTTAATGTAGATCCTCCCGTGATTATTATGAATACCCTTACTATTGTTTATTCTTAAATAGTTATGACCATTACTATTGTTGAGTACACCAGCGTGTTTTTTAATGTATATAATTCAAGATGCCAAATATTTGACAACAATTTCATTTTGAGATAACGTAAAAAGCGTAACATTTGAAACAGGGGCGACCCCAAGGGGTTCAGAGTGATGAGACAACCCCTGAAAGTTTGAGAGTATAGAGCTTTGAAATACATTCGATTTGATATATCATAACTCCCTAACTCATTACGAGTAAAAATTTATGACTTCTTGAAATTAGCAGTATCTAAACTTCAAATGAGTGAAGTTTGAAATTTTAAAAATAGTGTATATTCACTCATTATGTGACATGACTCAAAGATGAAGAAAAGACAAACTGTCTTACTGCTATGAGTTTCTCTTACTCAATGTCTGATTCGTTTCTGATAAGAAATCTTGATATTGAACTGGGCGGGAAGGGAAGACATAAGGTCTTAGGGGTGGGCATAAAACTCGAACTGGCCCGGAGTGGTAACGAACCAAATTTCGGACATTTAAACGATTCTATAGATTTTTATCCCGAACTAAAACTGTACCGTTTGAAACGGGTACGAGATCGGTCCTAGATTTTGAGAACCGAAAAAATACCAGACCGGACCGTTCAAAAATAATACATTTGAATTTTTTATATTTTCTTCTATACCAATAAATAAATTTTGTAGAACAACAATTTTGTACCCAAATATGTATTCATGTGTGTGTTTATATGTATATTGTTATTTCTTCTTCTTAGATAATTGTGTGTTATATTTTGGTATGTATTCAAAGAATGTTAAAGTTCTAAGAATCATAAATGATTATTCATGTGAAGTAATAATGTAGTGTATATGACTCTTTGTTAGTATCATGTTTGTGCAATTGTACAACTTATAAATTAATATGTTTTAAATCTTAGCTCTCACGGTTCAATTAAAAATTAAATTAGAACTAATATTTAACCTAGAACAAAGAAGAAAAACATTGAAGTTTTCTATTATATTGAATAATTTGATGATATTCTTTTTATATTTTCACATGAACTTAGTAAATGAAAGATGATATTTATCTCGTATATCATCATTTTGCTATATTTTTTCTTAATTGTGTTGCGCTATTTGTGTATATGTGAATTTTAGTACTGCGTATGCAATTTCTTGTATTTATATTAACACTTAATGTGAGTTGGTTGGTGTGATGTTATTTACTAATTGCAAAATTTGTCCAATTTTTTAGTATGTGTTTGACATTGTACCATACCGTTTGTATCGTTCTGAAACGACATAGTACCGAATCGTTCCATCCTTAGAACCGGACTGTCAGTGGCGGACCCAGATGTTTTCTAAAGTCGGGGCACTGCCAGGACAGATTTAGGGAGAGCCAACGTAAGCCTTGGTTCACCCCAAATTTAAAAAATGTTTTAATTTTTAAGGTAAAAAAATTCGTGTAAAAGTTTTTCCAAAAATATTTTTTGCATCGACCCAGTCTGGCCTAGCACCCTGCCTCCGCTCCTGAACTGGTTTATCTTCTCTAGTCTGTTTAGATTATTATGTTTAACTGTAAATAGATCATTCAATTTTCGTTTCAAGGACATATATAGATTATATGTTTAGGTTTGAACTCATTAAGACCATTGTATCAAAATACTACCGTGTTAAAAAATGAAGTGCTACGTATAATTTAATTTTGCTATTTCACCCTTCAATACAACTTTATCTAATAATATGATTTTATATATCTAACTTTATCATGTTGCAACACAAACAATCAAAAGGTCTGTCGGTCTATCATGAATTGACAAAATTTTCCATGTATATTTTTTTTTTCAAGAACAAAAGTTTCAATCTATTAAGTTAACCCCACATATTAGAAGCTTTGTTATATCTCAAACTTCTTCTAACTTTAGACCAACATGATTCATACTTAGTCAAAAAGTCCTCAATGCCACATTTCAAAGAAAGTTTAGTTATCATATCAACATGTCTAACTACATGGAATCACTCCATCACAACTTGTTTGTCATTTATATTTTCACTACAATTTATACGCTCTTCGATGAAATTATCTCAATATCTATTTTTTCCCGGTGAAGCGGAGTACGATTTTTATAAGTACTAATACTAAACTTCGGGGTCGGAAGCGGGGGCACTTTCCCCCTGGGACCCCCTATGTCCTCCACTGAGGACCTTACCGAACCGTTAGAAACCTCACAAATAAATTACAAGTTTTACTAACTTCCCGGACCGCGCCCACCCCTAGAAGGTCTCATTTTAGGCCACAAACAGTGAGAAAGCCCTTCAACTAAACCCGTATAAAACAAGTTTATAATATATATGACATGTATATCAAATTTATATCTTTGTTAGTCTCATTTAAATTATCATTTATCTAAACTACATATATGAAACATTTAACTTGGATATAATATCTAAAAGTGATCCATTGTTTTTATTATGTATAAAGTCCAATTTAGATCTCATGAATCATTTTTGTAGCTCTGCCACTAATTTGAAATACTCGGTATGTAATTTCAACGGGTAACATTAACTTGGTTGGTCACAAAAAGAACTATAAGGAGTGTTTGGAACTGATTTTGCTTCTGCTTCTCTTATAAAAACAAAAGCAGAATCAGAATCAGTTTTCAGAAGCTGGTCACCCCAGATTCTAAAAAAAACTGATTCTATGAATAAATTAAAGCACCGAAATCACTTCTGCACTTTTACCCAAACACTCAAGGAGCAGAAAGAGTTTTAAGAATCAGATTCAAAACTTTGCACCCCATTTTGGGTGATATTGAACTTTGCACCCCATTTTGAAAAAACTTTGATTTTGCACCCCAACACATAACATTTTGTGAAGAAAATTTTCTGAAGGAGGTGCAAAGTCAAAGGATTTTGGCTAAAGGTTCAAATAGGCCCTTGAACTTACTTAAAGTGTTCAATTAGCCCCTTATATAGGAGGTTCTGCCTGGCCGTCGCTAATTGGGGCGGTTCCCGGTGGAATTTTTTGATGAGGTTTTTTGAGAATCTTCTTCATTAAGTTTAGTTTACCCATACCAAATTTTAGCTAAAAATTCAACCGGGAAGGCAGTCAAATGATTTTCCGAAATGTACTGCGCGGTTTAACTTCGCAGTTATCTTCAAAAAATCATTTGACTACCTTTTCGGTTGAATTTTTAGCTGAAATTTGGTATGAATAAACTAGACTTAATGAAGAAGATTTTAAAAAAGTTTCATCACAAAATTCCACCGGGAACCTCTCCAATTGGCGACGGCCGGGCAGAACCTCCTATATAAGGGGCTATTTGAACACTTTAAGTCAGTTCAGGGGCCTATTTGGCCCTTTAATAAAGGATTTTTAAGTGGAATGTGGTGCAAAGTCAAAGTTTTTTGAAAATAGGATGCAAAGTCCAATATCAACCAAAAAGTGGGATGCAAATCCCCTAAATCCAGTGTACTTTTGGATGGACCAACCGTTGATGAGCTATGTCATGCACAGAATAGATTGGTGGGGAGAGTATATACAGTCATCGATTAATAATTTGTTTCTATACGGACTTCTCTCTCTCATTCCGAATTCATTCCACATTTTTCTCTGTCTTTTTCGGCAGTGAATGTCCCGTCCTCTGTAGAGCAGCTCACCGGCCGGCAGGGATGAATCTCTCCGGCAGACGGTGGTTTGTGGGCGATTTGGTGTCAGAGGTGCTGGTGCTGGCCAAGTCCATCGGCCAGTTGCCGGCGGTAGGTGTGGCTCCCGTCCTGAACGCAGTCGTGGTGGTGTGCTGCTGGATGACGATGCTGTTGTTCGTGGAGTGGATGGGTATGGGGGCAGTCATTGCTTTCGTCAAAGCGTTCCGGAGAACGCCGGAGAAGCGGTTCAAATGGGAGCCATTCACGGACGACGACGTTGAGCTCGGAAACGCCTCTTTCCCTATGGTTCTTGTTCAGATCCCAATGTACAATGAGAAAGAGGTACCCACTCCTCTCTCACCTATATATATGCCCATTTATTTTACCAAAAAATAGCTACACTTCAAAAAATAATATGGTCTATATTAAAGTTCCTACTTCAAACATTTCCTTATTTGGGAAATGATTTACAAAACAGTGTCAAACAGTGTTCAAACAATGCACTTCACAGTAAAATCAAATTTATTTCTTAATATGTGTTAAGTCAAACTATGAACTTAATTAAGAAGCACGAGGAGTACTCCAAAATGCTACTTACTTTCTATATTCTCTTACTTGTCTTTTCCACTAAGTTTAGAATTACATATGTGTAATTCTAAAGGGTCATTACTTTATGAATTGAATATCAATCACTAAAATGCACTTTGCTTGATAATCTCATCATCTCCCTCAAATGGGACGGAGGTAGTATAATATAACACCCTTCTCGAAATTTCATTTATTATTCCTTTCCCTTCATTTTTCAATTTTTAATTCAGTCTATATGTGAAGTCCCATAAACTAAATTTTGGGGGAGCCTATTATAGTATTATGTGACAAGATCATCCAATATAATTTTTAATAGCATTAACACATAATTAATTTTGCGGGCCCTTTAATTAATAAGATACTCATATGTGAGTATCTTATTAATTAATTACTAATTTACTAATGTCCAATTAAAGTCATTAACAATTAGTAGATAATAGTTTGGTGTCCTATTTTTAGTTAGATTGACTTAACTCCTGATAAATAGCTTTGGAGATGTGGGATGAAGAGAAGACCGATTCCATAGGTGAATTTTAAGTGAAGAGAGGGAATAAGAGTATGTTTGATTTGATAATATCAAACTCGGCTGATTTTACTGAAATTTATGAAGTTCTGGCTGAACTGATTGATTCTGCTGATTTATGAAAATTTATATTTAAAATATATTGTATTAAGAAAATACAGAAAAAAATTATATGAAAAAATAGCTAAAATGATCTTCTACAGTAACTTCAGTCGGGACAGCCGAGAAGTGTCTCCAATCTTACTTTTTCTTATTATTTCACAATTCAGCGCACAAAATAAAAAGTTACGTGTTTTGATGAAAAAGTTGGCAGATAAGTCAGATAAGCCGAAAAACAAAGATACAAGGCTATGTGATGAGAATTCTGATATGAGAATTCTTTAATCCTTTACTCACGGTGTAAAGGGACCAAATCTATCTCACGGTGATAAATGACCAACTTGTTTAAAACTGAAATCGCTAATAATTTTATTGATAGATATGTGGGTATAAATAATACCAAGAATACTAATTGCTATGAGACTAAAAGATTAGGATAGTAGTATCCTTATAGGATATTACTGCTGCCCGAAAGTTGCACTCCTAAAGCCAAGAATAAGAATAAATACAATAATAAGAATTAATAATGAATAACTAGCTACAGGAAGTTTATTCTTCTCTATTGCACGTCATCAGCCAGACGGATATTTGGTCTTCGTGCTCGTTTGCTATTATGCTCCAGACCATCCACGTTATTCTCATCACTATGTTTGGTGATCTAAATTCAGTCATTCTTTTTTAGAGTAACCTTGTTTAAACAAATGTCTTAAGTGAGCTGAATTTGATGATGATAAATGACTAAATGCATTTAAAACATTTTTTCTAATTAACTACTCTATCTGGTCCCTATTAAAGTTTTCACTTTCCTTTTCGGGACGTCCTTTATTTAAGTTCACACTTCCATTTTAGAAAACAAAACAGTGTCAAACAGTGCACTCCCACAGTAAAGTCAAATTTATAATTTCTTAATTTCTGTGAAGTCAAACTGTGAACTTTCTTCAGAACAGGAGGGAGTATTAATTTGTTAAATGTAACTTTTAAAGCCAAATACTACGTATATAACTTTTACAACATTTATATTAGTTTGTACTTTGTAGTTTTTAGCCAAAGATACACTTCTCACCTAATCCGCTTCTTAAGTGAAAATAAGTCTTTAAATGAGAAATGAAAATGAATCTTAACCATTTGATTGAGAATATTGCACCATCACAGCTTCCCTATGAACTGTCATTATGGATTAGCGGTGACATTTTTATAAAAGGAAATTTGGAGTTTGCACACTATTTTCAAAACTTTTAGACTTTTAGACTTTGCACCCTATCACTCACGTGCAAAGGCTAAGAGTTTTGAAAATGGGGTGCAAAGTCCAATATCACTTAAAAAATGGGGTGCAAAGTCAAAATATCCCTTTTATAAATACCTTTGAAAATCTTATATTGCACTAGTTATATAAAGGCAGATCGCACCAACGTGCACATTCACGTGAAGAGTATTTTTTGGTTCAAAGGTAACAAGGTGCATATATGGTGTATTAAAATGACAGTGCTAGTGTAGCATGACAATGCGCTAGTGGTACGATATAACTATGAAAACCCAATGAATACCCAATGATATAATTGGACTAACGTGGAAAATAGGTCAAAGGCGCACATATTTACTCACGTATGTTATTGTTGACTATCTACGTACGTATGAGGCAAAAAGAGTTTAGGGAATGTTGTGTTATTCATTAGCTGTATGGGTATTTATACAGGAAAGATACAAAGGTGAGCCCTTAGCCCATGTACAAAACAAATGTAAAATAAATACAAGAATGGGCCGAGCCCTATATACGGTTAACACCCCCCCTCAAGTTGGAGCATGAGGTTCAAAAATGCCCAACTTGCGCTGAAGATACAGAAACTGAGACTTTCCTAATGCTTTAGTGAAAATATCCGCGAGTTGCTCGGTGGTGGAGACATGTTTGGTAGCCAGAAGACCTGCCTGGATTGCTTCACGAACGTAGTGACAATCAACCTCAATATGCTTCGTCCGTTCATGAAAAACCGGATTATGAGCGATATGAAGAGCCGAACGACTATCACAAAATAAAGACATAGGTTCCGAATGATGAATGCCAAGACTAAGTAGTAGACCCTTGAGCCACTGTAACTCAGCCGTGGTAGCAGCCATGGAGCGATATTCTGCCTCTGTGGAGGAGCGAGAGACAGTATGTTGCTTCTTGGTCTTCCACGAAACAGGAGAGTCGCCTAGAAAAATCATCCAACCAGTAAGAGAACGACGAGTAATAGGACAAGTGGCCCAATCTGAATCACACCAACCCCGAAGACGAAGATCACACGCGGTCCGTAATAGAATACCCTGTCCGGGAGTGCCTTTGAGATAACGAACCACTCGTACCGCCGCTTGCCAGTGATCTTGTCGCGGAGCCTGCATAAACTGGGATAAAATATGGACAACATATGCTAAATCAGGTCGAGTAAAAGACAAATAAATCAGACGACCCACTAGGCGTCTATAAGATTCAGGATCAGACAACAAGTCACTCTGAGACAAGGCCAGAGAATGATTTTGCTCGATAGGGACGGTTGCTGGTTTTGCCCCTAATAAACCTGCTTTAGAAATAATATCCAGAGTGTATTTGCGCTGGCACAGAAAAATCCCATCGGCACTACGGGCAACCTCGATCCCAAGAAAATATTGAAGAACTCCAAGATCTTTCATATGAAAGCACTTGTGCAAATATGATTTAAAGTCAGAGATGGCACTGGAATCATTACCTGCTATAATTAAATCATCAACATAGACAAGTATATATAACTGTGTGTTGCCCCGGCATAATGTAAATAAGGAATAGTCAGAATGCGATTGCATAAAACCATAGTGCTTTAAGGAAGCTGCGAGTTTTGCAAACCAGCATCTGGGAGCTTGACGTAGTCCATATAAGGATTTTTTTAGCCGACATACTTGCCCGGGCCGTGATGGGTGAAAACCCGGAGGAGGCTTCATGTAGACCTCTTCGTGCAGATCGCCATGAAGGAATGCATTGTGGACATCCATTTGGTGCAACTCCCAGTGTTTAGCGGAAGCAACAGCTAAAAACAAACGAACTGTAACCATTTTGGCGACAGGAGCAAAGGTTTCAGTATAATCAATGCCTTCTTGTTCAGTATAATCAATGCCTTCTTGTTGATGGTTACCAAATACAATGAGACGAGCTTTAAGGCGCTCAACGGTGCCGTTAGAGTGATATTTAACTTTGTACACCCACTTGCACCCAAGAGCTTTCTTACCCGGTGGAAGTTGGGTCATCTCCCAAGTATTATTATTTTCAAGAGCAAGAATTTCAGCCTGCATAGCCTGACGCCACCTAGCGTCGGTCATAGCTTCCTTGAATGAGCGCGGTTCATGACCTGCAAGAATGGCTCCAAGAAACGTTCGATAACGGATAGAGAATTTGTCACTTTTCACAAAATTAGCTATAGGATATGGCGTACCTGAGGAACTGACGGAGGAGTGGTGAGACGGGGACGGGCTCTTTTTCTGAACATGATTAGTAACGAAGTCTCGAAGTAGTACTGAAGTCCTCTTGGGCCGAAGACCGCGTCCAAGCAGAGGAGCATGCGGCTGATCTTGCATAGTATCCTGGAAAGATGCAGACGACGTGGAAGTGTCTGAAGCGGAGCTAGACAGCTGTTGTGGTACTGCGGGATCAGGCCAGATAGGTGGGTCAAGCACCGAATGTTCATGGTCCGGGGACGGAGAAATCAGGATAGGAAATTCATTCTCATGAAAAATAACGTCCCGTGAAGTAAAAATTTCTCGAGTATTCCAATCATAAACTTTCCACCCCTTTTGACCATGAGGATATCCCACAAAGACCCCCTAAAATTTATTTCCTCGGGATTTAATATTATGAGCAAAACAAAGGCAGCCAAACACACGAAAATGTGCCGGTGCTTACGCTCCACTCTCCCATTTTGTTAGGGTGTATGTACACACGAGGTTTGAAACAGAATACCATTCGTGTCAAAATAAGGTATCATGCATTTAAATTCAGTCCCATTATCACTATGCACAATTTTCACAGATACATCAAATTGTCGTGCAACCATAGCAAGAAACGAAATAAAATAAGCATGAACCTCCTTTTTATCCCGAAGCAGATATACCCACACAGCACGAGAATAATCATCCACAAGAGTCATGAAATAAATGGCATCACAAGTTGAAGGAGTTTTATAAGGTCCCCATAAATCACAATGAACAAGCTCAAAAATTCGACTAGCTTTATTGTTACTAATAGGAAAAGAATCACGCACTTGCTTAGCTTGAGGACATACATCGCAAGCTTTATTTAATTTTTTCTGAGAAGTACTAGAAGCAATAGCAGGTAATAATTTGAGTACTCGGTCAGACGGGTGACCCAAACGACGATGCCACAATTCAAACTGAGACAGATCAGCAGATGTCTGAACGTGATGCAAAGCAGGTACCCTTCTGAAGTAAAAGAGCCCATCCTGTTGTTCACCGGCTCCAATCAGGTTCCTCGAGTGTAGGTCCTGTATAGCACAAAAATTATTAGTAAAAGTGACAAGGCATGCAGATTGAGCCGTTAATTGTGAAACGGAAATAAGATGACAATTAAGGCCAGGCACGTAAAGAACGTGATCAAGAGTCAACATCGCAGATAATGGCACACGGCCCGTTACAATTGCATCAACTGTGCGTCCGTCCGGCAGTCCCACCGGGCAAGCAGTAATATGAGCAGGATTAATAAGACAATGGATATCCCCTGTCACATGATGCGATGCTCCGGTATCTATTATCCAATTAAGAGAAGAGTACGTACCCGTCATCCGGTCACATGATCGAGTATCGGCGTTAATTAAATTCAATAGAGCCTGCACCTGCTCATTAGTCAAAGTGGCCGAACTAGGTGTGCCTGTATTAGAAGAAGAGGACCCTTCTCCTGCTGGCAGCAAAGCAGACCCAACCGCATGCGTCCGAGCACCTCCCCCACGCCCGGCAGGTTGCGGTTTGCCTTTGTTCCTCTCTTCCCACCATTCGGGGTACCCAATTAATTTAAAACATGACCCGACTTCATGTCCTTTTTGTTTGCAGTGAGTACAAACAGGCCGAGGGCGGTCAGATTTTTCAGGACGTCCTTTAGCACTTCGGTCAGCCTGTAATGCAAACGCAGTAGCTTCAATCGAAGATGCTTTTCCACGTGCCACAGCCCTTGAGTTTTCTTCCTGCAGAAACGCATGATGAGCGCGATCCACACTTGGTAATGGATCTTGGGAGAGTAAATTGGACCGAACTATGCCATATAGTTCATCATCGATCCCCACCAAGAATTGGTGTAACTTTTCTTCTTCGCGTTCAGCCGCTATCTTTCCAACCAAGTTGCAAGTACAAAGGCCGCACGAACAAGATGGCAACGGCTTCAGCCTGTATAATTCATCATAAAGTCCCATTAATAGCGTGTAGTACGCATCAACCGACATACCCTTCGTCTGTTTGCAGCTTGTGATTGAGGCTTTTAATTGTTGCAAACGAGGTCCATTGGCTACACTAAATCTTTTCTCCAAATATAGCCATAAAGGACGGGCTTCTTCGTGAAACGGGATAGATGCACTCCCGAGTCCATGCTCCTAAGCATCCATGACACAATCATGGAGTTAACGGTGACCCAATTAGATTGTTGCGCCTCCGCTTCCGGTTTCTTCAAAGTCCCGTCCACAAAACCGTGCTTTCGACGGGCTTTCAAAGACAAGGAGAAAGCACGTGACCAAGCCACGTAATTATCTCCTTTAAAAATAACATGTGTAATAAGGTTACCCGGCTGATCTCTAGGTCCGAGGTAGTAGGGCGAAGTTGGATCCGTCATGGTTGCCGATCTTCAGCACGCTGGTGCCTTTTTCCCGAAGTCGGCAAGTCTGGAACGGGTTACGCGGCCTGCCTTGCAGGCTCTGATACCATGTTGACTATCTACGTACGTATGAGGCAAAAAGAGTTTAGGGAATGTTGTGTTATTCATTAGCTGTATGGGTATTTATACAGGAAAGATACAAAGGTGAGCCCTTAGCCCATGTACAAAACAAATGTAAAATAAATACAAGAATGGGCCGAGCCCTATATACGGTTAACAGTTATAAATGAGTAACCATACACAAGAAGGTTTATTTAACCGAGTAGGTAAGTTAACTCAACGTTTTATTAGCTCTTTTCTCATAATTTTGTCATATTTAATTTTTTTAAGTCAATGGTGGTAAACTTTGGTGAATGATTTTGATTAGTACGACGTATGATTTTATCAAAGTTATCAATTGTATACTTTTATGTGAAAGCATTTTTAATAAAGAACATTTCCATATCATTTTTGTAGTATAAATAATTTCCTCTAAAAATTTATCATTGAATAAAGTTTACTTTGATTAAATTTAACGATGACAAAGTTTCGAAGGATGAGAGGAATATAAACTATCAACTTTGTTTTAAGAAAGAAAAATAATTTATTGATGAGACCAAAGGATGTACAAGTCGAAATGACAAGGAAAAAGAAAACAGAAAATGTAAAGAATTAAAAAACTTAAAGACCCAACCCATACTACAGACTACAGAGATGCCCCACCCTAGATGCCCTTAATCTCTAAGCCTATAATGAACATAATAATAGCCTAATATATTTAGGAATCTCCCTAACATATAGTTAGGAATTTGCCTAATATCTATTTAGGAATATTTTGTATTTCGGCAACTCTTCTATTATAAGGTGACAACTCCGGTACCCTTTTAAATATTGGGGTACCGTACCTATCATGCATTTGATTGGTCCAAACCATTCTATTCCTTTTAATTTAGATTTAATTAATTCAACTGCATCATTCCTATTGGTCCATGTGGACAAAGGTATGGTACCTTAAGGGTACCATAGAATCTACCATATTATAAATATACTCCCTCCGTCCCAATATAAAAGGCACACTTTCCTTTTCGGTCCGTCCCAATATAAAAGGCACATTTCCCTTTTTGGCAAACAAAACAGTGCCAAACAGTGTCCAAACAGTGCCAAACAGTGCCAAACAGTGCTCAAACAGTGTTCACCCTTAAAATGTCTAGAAACGCAAATGTGCCTTTTATATTGGGAAGGAGGGAGTATTTGTCAAGACTCCAATTTCCTTTCCCATTATTTCACATGGTATCAGAGCTCTAGGTTTTTAGATACAATTAATTTTTTTTCCTTTTTCGTTTCCCATGAACCCTAGTAAGCCGCCGCCTCGGGGTCGACTGTTGTCACATCTACGGCAGTCTCCGATCCTTTGAGGATGAGCGCGGCTAATATGGCGCAGATCACCTTCTCCGTGTCGCTGACCACGGTGCTTGCTTCCAGCGCATCGTTACGTTCGCCGCTTGCTGCTGCAGACGTCGATTTTCTAGCCGAGTCCGGTTCGGCCGCGCTCACAGTTGTTCCAGAGTGCTACACCTATCCCAGTCTCTCCGTCGACCCTGGCATGATCCCATCATCTTCTGTCGAGCCATTTGGCCGTCGGCCGGGATCCTCTCCGTTGCCCACTTCATTCGCTGCTCTTTCTCAAGGTATCTTCAGAGGTCTCCAAATTATGGACAATTTTGGCAGTATACTCCGACATATAATGAATATCCGACTGTAGATCTACGTGAGGATTTGTTGTATTTCTTGGTCCTATTCTGGTTTCTTGGATGTCCTAGAAACAACCTACTTGCTCATGGAGATCTTATAGTCAAATATGTGTCTCATAATTTTCTGCTGGGGGATATATTTACTAAAAGTTTTTCTAGTTTGCAATTTCATTTTTTAAAAGACAATCTGCGCGTTGTACCTCCCGCACAGTTTGAGAGGGTGTAATAACCTAATATATTTAGGAATCTGTCTAATATATATTTAGAAATCTGTCTAATATCTATTTAGGAATACTTTGTATTTTGGCAACTCTTCTATTATAAATATATCTGTCAAGACTCCTATTGGAGTATCATTTCCCATTATTTCACACATAATAGCCTAAGCGTTCCGCGCGTGTTTGAGATTGTGTAAGTTTTCATATGGTGAGAGTGTTGATTCTTTTTTTCTCTAAGTTCTCATTTAGCCGTTCAAATTACTCGTAGTCAAACAATTCTCTCTCGTAACCAGTAATGCCTTATGGTATATATCTTGCTTAGAGTAAGAATCCCATAAATCCTCCATTGTCGATAGGAGTACGTTTTTCATTCTCTGAAGTGTGACCTACATATGCAACCCCTGAAAAGATGCCCCTCGAGGAGCCGACCTCTTGATATGCGCAATCCGAGACATCCGAGTAATCAAAACACCAACCCATTGGCTCTGGAGTTGCTATAGTGTTCTTTCGAGTTGTAACGAGCTCAGATTCAACTCTCTTTTTTCAGCACCGTACCCCTTTGCACAGTAGCATGCCCATACATAAGTGGATTTATTTTTCACTCAGAAATGTGTGTAATTATACGTTCATATTCTTTTGAAAGAAATGCTACCAACTAGTCATATAAGCAGTCAACGACATTGTCGTTTGAATGGGAGCGTTTTCGTTTTTTTGTTTTAATTTAACCATTGATCAGTTCTATATGTGAAGGTGTATAAGCAGTCAATTGGAGCGGTATGTGGGCTTTCTTGGCCTTGTGACCGATTCATAGTTCAAGTCCTTGATGATTCAACGGACCCAAGCATTAAGGTAGTAGTAGTAATAATACTGTAATTGGGTAAACAAAAATGGTAAATGTTTGTTGTGCGCTAAGCGTAGCTTGAAAATATGAAATGATAAGGAAATGGTGGAAATGGAGTGTGAAAGGTGGGCAAAGAATGGAATGGACATAAAGTATGAGATCAGAGACAACAGATATGGGTACAAAGCAGGGGCATTGAGCGAGGGGATGAGGCATTCTTATGTGAAGGAATGCGAATATGTTGTTATTTTTGACGCCGACTTTCAACCTGATCCTGATTTCCTTCGGCGCACCATCCCCTACCTAGTCCATAATCCCGACCTCGCCCTCGTTCAAGCACGATGGAAATTTGGTATGTCATTTTAAGCTATAAGGTTGCCACACGAAGCTCGGCCGGTAAGGGAATTTGATATAAAAGTTGGTGAATTTTTGCAGTGAATGCTGACGAATGCTTTATGACCAGAACTCAAGAGATTTCTTTGAATTTTCATTTCAGTGTGGAACAAGAAGTTGGCTCTTCCACCTACGCCTTTTTCTCCTTCAATGGTACTTGCATTGCTCTTCTTCTCTCTAACTAACTGATATATTTACACTTGTCGTTGAATGCGGGGATCATTAAGTTCCTTCCTGAATCAATAAGGCTATGCTCTCAATAATGCCCGCCCGCGGCTTGATTCTTTTAGTTTGGGCAAGGCATATCCTTAATATTAAAATTACCTACAATATGAATCCAACCATTAATAATACCATGTTTTAAGCTTTTAGGTGCCCCTGCATGGTGCTCTCTTCACCCCATTCCTTTTTCTTGTTTATTCTTAAGAAACACGCAAGATGATAATAAAAAAAAATAGTCAAAACCATGTCACAATAGAAAATTTGAATCATATGAGGTTGCATTTTTAAGGTGAAGAGAACAAACGTGTCCTCATGACTAGTCTGATGTTGGAATGCAGGAACAGCAGGTGTTTGGAGAATTGCTTCGATTGAGGATGCAGGTGGGTGGAATCATCGGACCACTGTTGAGGATATGGACTTGGCTGTCCGGGCTAGCCTCAAGGGGTGGAAATTTTTATACCTTAGTTCTCTCAAGGTAAATATATAAAGCAATTGGCCTGGATACATTTTTTATGGTGTTCATTCATCGTAGGATACTATCAACATCAACGTCAATCCAAGCCTCAATCTTGAAGAGTTTAGCTCTATTAACATGAATCAACATATGACATCTGAGTTATAATAATAATAATAATAATAATAATAATAATAATAATAATAATAATAATAATAATAATAATAATAATAATAATAATAATAATAATAATAATAATAATAATAATAATAATAATAATAATAATAATAATAATAATAATAATAATAATAATAATAATAATAATAATAATAATAATAATAATAATAATAATAATAATAATAATAATAATAATAATAATAATAATAATAATAATAATAATAATAATAATAATAATAATAATAATAATAATAATAATAATAATAATAATAATAATAATAATAATAATAATAATAATAATAATAATAATAATAATAATAATAATAATAATAATAATAATAATAATAATAATAATAATAATAATAATAATAATAATAATAATAATAATAATAATAATAATAATAATAATAATAATAATAATAATAATAATAATAATAATAATAATAATAATAATAATAATAATAATAATAATAATAATAATAATAATAATAATAATAATAATAATAATAATAATAATAATAATAATAATAATAATAATAATAATAATAATAATAATAATAATAATAATAATAATAATAATAATAATAATAATAATAATAATAATAATAATAATAATAATAATAATAATAATAATAATAATAATAATAATAATAATAATAATAATAATAATAATAATAATAATAATAATAATAATAATAATAATAATAATAATAATAATAATAATAATAATAATAATAATAATAATAATAAATAGTAGCTAAAGTATTTTCTTACTCTACATAAATCTCAACCACACAGTTTTACTCTATTATTCTACGTTACCTTATTATTCTATGTGCAAGTCAACTTTGGCCAAATTTTATGGGACGAAGGAAATATTAAATAGGGAGTCAAACAAATCACTCATCCACACAAATATTTTCTCATGACTTCGCTTTCTTGGTCTCTCCAAAGTCATATTCTTTTCTAACCTAAGAAGTACCATGTCGTTCCCTCCCTCTCTCCAACTCTCAATTCGTCTAACAATGCATCGATCGATCCACTATACACATGGTCAAACCTATGCAATAGACACTTTCGCATCTTATCTTCTACAAGTTCTACTCTCTTATTTTCCTTATTATATCATTCCTTAAGCAATCTTTTCTGGTATGTCCAAACATTCAACTCAACATTCTCATCTCAGTCACATTCATCTTTTGAATATGACATTATTTTACCGCCTACTCATAAAGTAATGTGGACCTAATTGATGTGTACTAAAACTTATCCCTCAGTTTAGTCGGCATACAGGGATCACAAAAAAAAAATCATGACACACTCTTCTATTTTATTTGCCGTGTTTTGATTCTACTAGTATTCCACTGCAATGTATAGGCAATTATGTTCCTAATGTTCATGTGATTTTACATTGAACAAATGAAAAAATTAATATTAACATGAAATATATTGTTCATGTGTGACAAAAGAAATGTAGTTTCACTACATATTTGTAAGTTCTAAGCATTAAGTTTAATGAATTGTAAACATAATAGGATGAAAGTAAGTTACATTGCATGCTATTATAAAAAAGTAGATGTTCAAATAATTAACTACATATTTTATACTCCCTCTCTGTCCCAATTTGATGGTCCTGTTGCGATTTACGAAGCTTGACTGACGATAAAGCAAATGAGTCCCTGTCCGCACACAAATTATTTGTAGCAAATAAAATTGACACATTGAGAAACTACATTAAAAGTTTTACAAAGTCACAAATACCTGAATCAAATTTGATAAAAAATTGATATAAAAAGTAAGTGATTAAGAGTGATTTGTGTTGACCAAGTGAATATGAAGTAGGACCATCAAATTGGGACGGAGGTAGTAATACTTTTTATGTAAACAACATTCATGATACGATTATTAATTTTTCGTACTACATTACTAAAAGCCGCTTTTTCTTAGGACTTACGATCGGATCTGTAATAGCTGTTTGGATATTGTCTTACATGCTTTCTCTATATTAATAAAAGCCGCTTTTTCGTAAAATAAAATAAAAAAATCATACGATGAGCCGAGGGATTAGCCCGACGTACGTACGTGTCATTTCTATTCAATCTATCTATGAGCCGAGGGATAAAAATCACCTAGCTTAGATCGAGATGGAACCATGCATGGTTCCATGCAGTCATCTATCTATCTTCACTGCAGGTGAAGAGCGAGCTACCTAGTACATTTAAGGCATTACGCAACCAACAGCACAGATGGTCATGTGGACCCGCTAATCTCTTCAGAAAAATGTTCATGGAGGTACTGAGAAATAAGGTTAGTTCAATTCCTTCACCCCACCCATTCTCCGATCCGTTTCATACTTACGTGCACTTGATCGATCATGTATTGATACAAGTAATTAATGAACTCTTTTTACATGCAGAATGTAAATTCGTGGAAGAAGATTTATATCATATACAGTTTCTTCTTTGTTAGAAAGGTCATTGCCCATGTCGGAACTTTTGTATTTTACTGTTTGGTTCTGCCAACAACATGTTTGGTTGAGGGAGTCGATGTTCCGAAATGGGGAACTGCTTATGTCCCTTTTGTGATCACCATTATCAATATTCTTGCAACACCAAGGTTTGCCTTTTCGATCTCTATCTATATCCATGGCCGCGTGGTTTTCAGCTTGTTAATTAATTAACCAGATAGATAATGGTAATATAGGTCACTTCATTTGGTGGTATTCTGGATCCTGTTTGAGAATGTTATGGCAGTTCATCGAGCTAAGGCTACCATAATGGGTTTGTTTGGGGTGGGCAGGGTCAATGAGTGGGTTGTTACAGAAAAGTTGGGGGATGCAGCTCCAAAGTTGAAAACAGCAGCTATTGAAGGTTCTAGGAAACCTTATTTCAAGATTTTGGAAAGGTAACATTCATTTCGATCTTCTCCCTAGCTTTTTACATGCATGGGTGGAATAATGAACTAGGCTCCTTAGTTCTGGTGAGTTTCAACACAATGCTGGAGTATAGTATATACAATTCTTCTTTACCAAAGCTTTCATAGGGCGGGCCACCGCCTAACGGATAGGCCCTGGGTAGTTTTATACGGAGTATCTTGTGAATGCCTCCTATCCTTTTTGTGATAAATTCATGTTTTGGTAACTATAGAAGAATGCTTTTATTGATTCAATTCTTTTCCAATTACGTTTTCAAAGGGTAAAATCCAGAATCGGGCCATACTGTTAAGTCAATTTTGGACGTCTGTTTCAATTTGGTTATTTCGACCGATTTGAATCAGCTTTGGTATATATTATTCGATTATTAAGTTTTGTTGGCCTGGCTTTATCGATTGTTTTACCCAGTAAGTATAAAAAATATATAAAATGACAGCTCAAATCCGCCTCACTCTACCAACACTTTTGAGCCAAATAAAAATCTCACATAGATATTTTCGATTTTCACTTATCTATTGGTTTGAGACTATCGCCTCTAATGGTGTATGTCACTTTGTGCTATTTCAAAGCCTTGGGAATTGAGTTGGTGTTAGTAAATGAATTTAAAAAGCTTTTTAATCATAGGAACAAGAATTTTCATCCTACATCCACAACCTAAATGTAAAAAAGCATACATATTTGGTTTGCAAGTGTTGAAATTGAATACTCCCGGATCTCAATACTCTTTAAATCCCTGAAATGTTTATTAAATACTGGAAAATCTAACTATAATGGGTATGGCATTATTAGAATATACAGATCTTTCGATATATCATATGTGTATATCTCATTTCCCTCTTCCTTTCCCCATTATCGTAATACTGATTGATTTGTGGTGTAATAGCGTTGTTTCTCCCACCGTCATTTTATTCCATAAAACGAGTTAACGTAGTAGCAGCAGCAATTGACCGAGTCTTTGTTCATGTTTCTTACAGGATGTATATTTTAGAGCTTGCCATTGGTGTATATCTTTTGTTCTGTGGAACATTTGATCTTGTTTTCGGGAAACGACAATATTGCTGGTATATCTTACTTCAAGCAATCGCTTTCTTTGTAGCAGGATTTGGGTATGTTGGCACGTTTGTTCCTACCTCTTAGCAACTCTGCAACAATATGAATTCTCTACAGGGATGTTAGGTAGAGGACAAGGAGATGAAGTGGAAGAAAACCTATCTCTCATTGGTTATTACTAGGATGTAGGGATGTTCGTCGGTTCGGTTTAGTGGTTTTCGGTTTGATCGGTTTCGGTTTTAGAAAAGGTGAAACCGTAAACCGAATCGCACTACTTGAGTCGGTTTCGGTTTAGTTTCAGTTCGGTTAAATCGGTCGGTTCATGTCGGTTTTGGTCGGTTTTAGCATGTCTTGTCAATTTTTGTCGGTCGGTTTTAGTTCGGTCGGTTTTTTAACCCCAAAGGTGAAACCATAAATCGAACCGCCAATGATTAATCGGTTTGAGTCAGTTTCGGTTTTTGTCCGCTCGAATTCAGTCGGTTCTGGTTTTTCAGTTTTTTTGTTCACCACTACTAGTATGTACGTATTTCTCAAGGCTGTCTATAAAATTGTTACTGACTATGAGTAATAGTAATGCAACAAATATTTAAATGGTATAGTCAAAGATTAGTGTTGCACTTATAAGAAACAAATATTGTGAAGAACTCTTTGATACTCCCTCTGTCTCACTATAATAGTCTCATTTTTATCTCTTTGTCTATCCCACAAAATTTATCTCATACCATATTTGTTAATATTTGTGTAGTTTTAAATTATTTTTACTTTATTTTCACTTTATCAATTCATGAAAAAGGTCAAATAAACCATTTTACTATTTCTAATCTATCACTTATGCCCCTGTACTAAAAAAAAGATCATAAGTGCGCCTACTTTTAAAATACAATCAATCATGCCCTTTGACTTGCGATTGGAGGTTATTTTTTCTAAATTAAATTACCAATAGTGATAAATTCAAATAAATTTGAATAAATAATAATAATATAAAAATAGTATAAATATAAAAATAGATAAAAAATTAAAAACACTAAAGTAATAAATATAAAAAATTATAAACTGAAAAAGTAATGTGAAAATAAAAAATAAAAAATAAAAATTGGAAAAACCTTTGAAATAGATGTCGATTTTACAAATATTTGTAAAAACTAAAAAATATTGATTGTGATATTCTGAATTTTTTTAAACTTTTGTACATTCTTTTTTTTTCATTTTTTAACAATTTTTTAGAATTTTTAAGTATTAAAAATCTGCTTTTACTGGTCAAAAGGTGATTAAATGGTCAAGTTGATCTATTTTATAAAGTAGGCGGACTTATATGATACTTTTTTTAGTCCAAGGGCTTAAGTGACGTTTGTAAATAGTACAAGGACTTGTTTCAACCTTTTTCCTCAATTCATTATTAATCACATAATTCTACTTTTATTAAGGGGTGCAGGTAGAATTTAGTAATATTAAATTACTATAAACAAAAACAAATATACACATTAAAAATGAAATGTGTGTGCATTTGAAATATTAAATTGACTTGTACATTTATAAAACAGAAAAATGAAAATAATAATCCTAATTATTGTCAGTTCGTTGTTAATAATTCCAACTATCAATGATTTCTGAGTGAATTCAACTACAAGGTTTTTTTTCAAAAATAATCTCTAACCAATTATGACCTGATATAACATGTAATTTTTAAATGAGCACTAAGCATTAGTTATAAATATTTTCAACTATAGTCGATCTTTTTTATTAATTCCAATTAGTGATGGCCTCGGTGCGGGCCACCCAACCCGGGAACCGGCCCGTCCCGGTACTGTGTGGGCCCAGCCCGGGAACCGGGTACCGGTTCCAGGTCTATGCCCAATTTAAGGACGAAACTGGGGCGGTTCCGAGACTGATTTAATGTGAACCAGCCCGGTTCGGGCCGAGCCTGGTTCGGGCCTTTTTATTTTATTTTATTTTTGGTTTGGGTTTGGGTTAGGCCCGGTCCCGGGCCTAACCCATTGCCATCCGGACCCGGCCAGGCCAAGGCCTAACCCGGACCCGAGTCCATCACTGATTCCAATTACCAACTTTCAATTTTCGGGAGATGTAATTTTTTATATAAATTTCCAAATTAAATACTTTTAATCATGTAAAAAATTATTAAATTCTACAAATGTACTGAGGATAAATAAACCCTAGATTCATATAACGTTTGGCAACAACGGATCTTTCACCAATATCTAAAAAGGCTGGATTGATGTTGATTCTATATAATTTCGTATATATGTCAATTGAAAAGACAAATCTGAGCTAAAACATATATTTTGCCTGTCTAACTTGAGTTGTTTCCCTTGATTCGAGTTACCTCTCTATTTTTGCATTGCCAATGATGAACTCATGAAAATTGAACCAATGTTACTATTGGTGCCCAATTGTCCTAGATAGATGTAAAAGTCTAGTGAAAGGTTAACAAACTTAAATCCTTTCGCCCTTAAAAATTTTGTCCTCTGTTGGAGTTAGGCCTAGAATCTTTTGGATCTTTTGGAAAATCTTTAAACTGTCGGTGGAAGTGTTGACCACTTTAATTGCGACTCTTGTAATCTTGACCTCTTTAAATGTGACACCTGTATTGCTAGTCTTTTAGATGATGTGTGTTTGTAAGGTATATGTTGTTTGTGTTTGTATGGAAGTATGGAACAGTTAGATAATTGATAATTTGATAGAGTTAGTGAAGAAGTTAACTGTGAGTCTGACAAAATAGGAGTAGTATTCAGGCCAGAGGCTTCTGCTCAACACAAGCGAGTCCGATACCTTCAAGTAGAATCAATGAATCATGTCCCATAAATTCTAACTTTGTTCAAAGGTGTTAAGTACTACACAGTACACAAAGGTTGTTCAATGCTCAGAAAAAGTTTTTCATGAGCTCCAGTTGCTTTGATATGAAAAGCTAAGACACTATACAGGTAATACATTTAAACTAAAAAGGACGATCGTATTTTAGTGCAGTCTACTGTTTCAGTGTATAACTGACTGAAGAAGCTTTACCTTGTGAATGGAAGAAGTGAGTGTGTATATGGCGAGGTACTGGAATTAGTGTGTATATGGTTTACCCAGTCTCGGTGTGATTTTTGGGGACTAGGATGGGCCAGTCTCAGGCCTGATCTGATCCCCAATGGCTGGACAATTTGAAAATAATAAAATAATAGACCAAGACTCAGCCCGACCGGTCTGCCCAACCCAGTCTACGGCCTCTATCTAGTGGGCCGGTCCCAGGCCTCCCTTTTCTTTGTCAAGGGCTGGCTGATCTCGGTCCAGAATCGGGTCCATGCCTAACTAGAATGTAAGAGCATACGGATATAACCACTGGTGACATGATCCTTCTACTCTAGTCCAACCTTCTTTCAGATAGATTCCCAATGGCCATTTAATTTACTCTTTCATCTACTAAGGGATTTGACTTGAAAAATAAACTGTTCCATACTAACGGATGGGGTCCATAACCATGATGCCCCAATATAGGAGATATTTTAGCACTTATCAACGAGATTCTATCAATTAGTATTACACAGAAAAAATTCATTATAGACACTAACACAATTAGAGCCGCTCTTCATAGATGCATTGCACACTCGAGTTAACCTTAGAACTAGAGAATCAACACTTAGAGAAATAAACTCACCTCCTTAGTGACTTGAACTCAAACCTCTCAAATGGAAATCTTAAGTGTAGGATGTGATCCACTTAACCACTCCCATCTGTCAACGAGATAGCACAAAGTTAAAATTTAATACATGAGACCATTATTAAGTTGGGGTGATCCGGTGATGTGAAACATCCTCTCACGATTATGGTAATATTGAGATGTGCCCCCCTCTAAAAAAAGGATATATCCATTCAAGGTGACAAGGTGAAAAATATAAACTCCAATCCCACTATACGGACTAGGTTGAAGAGCTGGCAAGCCCCTTCATCCAAGCTTCCTTTGCGCCATTCAATAAATCAAAAGGACAAATTTCAACTTCTGCCTACTTATCTGCTTGGCTGAACCCGTCAATTATGATTCATCACATATGCTGGTTTACATCCTCATGGTTCTTTGCCAGCCAGTACCATCAAAATAACCACAATACCTCATAGATTAACAAACCATCAAAAGAGAATGTGTGAATGCGGGTTAAAATGCATACCTACAAAAATGAAAAGTACATGCATTTCTTGGACTCCATGTCATCTCCGGAAATCAAGCACCCGGAGTTTACTCATCTCCCATTGCTAACTCCAAAGCATAATCATCCCTTACCTAAAAGGTACCATAAATCTTTTAGTTAAAACAATTCCCTTTTCCTGAACAAATTTGAGAATGAAAAATCAGTACTGTTTTTCAAAGATCCTGAATTATTACTTACAATAGGTCCTCGGGCAAAATATCTTCCGAATTGGAGCAAATATACCTGTGCAGGTCTCATTATCTCATATCTCCGAAATTGAAAAAAAAAAAACGACAAGAAACTAGAAAAATAGAATATAACATGAGATCATTATCAAATGAAGCATTCCATATCAACTACAGGCAGTGTTCCAAAAGGCTTCAAAATACTTCGCCTAGGCTAGAGGCGCCATCAAAATGCCCCGTCTAAGGGAATGCGTGCAAAAAAAAAAAAAACGTTTTACTTAATTACTTCAACTAATACACCGTATTTGTTAACAACGTAATAGGCATAGTGGACTCTGCCTAAGCTTAACCCGGATCGCCCAGTCAACAAATTTTGTACCTATGCTTTGCAACGTTGGATGGCATTATATAATGCTATTGTCAGAAGCAAAGTCTCTCCTTTTCGGCGTGGGACAACAACTAGTGAAAGGGGATAATGAAAATTGAATAAAAGATTCAAGCCAGAAGGTTGGGAGCCTAAGTCTTATGCTCATATATTGAACTATGCTATCAACTCTCCTACAATACAGCTTATGCATGCTTGCCTTGGTTGAATTTTATAAAGAAAAATACTCTACAACATAATTAAGCAATGCATATTTTTTGTTTGAAAGGTTAAGCAACGCATATTATTATTACTGAGTATTACTGTATATTACTCCCTCCGTATTTTAAAGTTTGCTACACTTTCCCTTTTTGGCAAGTTTTTCCTTTAAAAATACTCAAGTACCCCTACTTTTTCTACTATTTATCTCCTCTTTCATACTTTTCCACCTTCTCTCCTACTTTTTCCACACTATTCATTACCCCTACTATTTTATCCTTAAATCTTGTGCCGAAACCTATTGTAGAGAACATTGAAATAAGGAGGGAGTACTATTTTTGGTGTTACTGTTTCTCTCAATTTTGTTTTTTAGTAAATAGGTAAATCTACTATAGTTTTACATCATTTGCAATAGAGCCAAAGACTCACTATTTTTTAGTAAAGCAAAATGGCTTGAGACTCGCTATATCATACTATGATGGAATAAAGCAAAATGGCTCACTAAATTGTCTGCACTTTTTTTATGAAGCAGCAGTCAGTCCATGCAATTTTGGATGTGATTTTCACTATGGATCATCCGGAAACAGACTCTTTGTGCTTTAGTATAGGGGTAAGACTGTGTACATCCGACCCTCCCCCTACCCCACCGTTGGTGGGAGCCTTTGCGGCACTGGGGTAATGATAATGAGGATGATAATGAGGAGGTAAATTTACTATATGTAGTAATGTAGGTTTAAAACATATAGAAGTCTATATTTTGGAAAATATATATTTTTGATGTAGTTGTATGTATTATACTACATAATATTACATATAACACATATTAATAACTATAGTAAGAGTACAATAATAAGTAAAAGATAAAACGTGATTTCTTGTCTAAGAGTCGCTTAAACTCACCTAGGCTTCCCAGGCTTGAGGCTACATTGTGCCGCCTCGCCACGCATTACACCTTTTAGAAAAGAGTAAAGGGTCAGTTTGGTCATCGAAGTTGTATAAAAGGGGTCAAATAAGTCCTTATATAGAAGATTCTGTCAGGACGTGCCATTTGAGGCGGTTCCCGGTGGAATTTTTTGATAAAATTTTTTGAGCATCTTATTCATTAAGTCTAGTTTACTCATACCAAATTTCAACTAAAATTTCAATCGGGAAGGCATTCAAATAAATTCTTGAAGACAACTTCGCTTTTAACTACACAGTTATCTTCAAGAATTCATTTGAATGTCTTCCTGATTGAATTGTTATCTGAAATTTAGTATGAGTTAACTAGACTTAATGTATAAGATGCTCAAAAAATTTCATCAGAAAATTCCACCGGGAACCGCCCCAAATGACGACGGCCGGATAGAACCTCCTATATAAGGACTTATTTGACCCCTTTTATACAACTTCAAGGACCAAACTGACCCTTTACTCTTTTAGAAAAATTGAGTATAGGCTTAAGTCACTAGCTAGATGGCAAATCAATCATTTTAGAGAAAAATGGTATTGATAGGACCAAAACATAGCATTCTTCAAAAAAATATGACCATATGTTTGGTTTTTCCTAAATACGACTAATCATTCCATTTCTACCCCTAATTAATTATATAATTAACCTAATTAATTTCCCCATGTAGTTCTCTTGCATAACCAGATCATCTCATTGGTGGCGGGATCAGTCCGTGGTGGCGGTAGCAGACTCTGGCGGCGGTGTAGATCTCTGACGGCAGCAAACGGCTGCGGAGACGTTGGAATTTCTGGCAGATCGCCGGAGAATTTCTAGGGGGGGGGGGGGGAATCTGGCGGCAGCGGTGACCTGGGGGCAAGAGTGCTCAAGACTTATGAGAGTATTGATAGGATCCTCCAGAAATACAACAGAAATCACAGAAATTTATCAAGAACAATTCAAAGCTTTATTGAATCAAGAACGTAACAAGAAACGATGGCCGAAGCCCCCAAAAGCCGAAGCTCCCAAAGAAAGAGATTATTAGTCTCAGTCTTCCCAAGTCCCAAGACAAATCGTCTAAAAGCCTGCTCTACTACTCCCCCTTCCCATCTATTTATAATAGAGACCCTTATTAGTAATGTTATTATTATTATTACTTCTATTGTTAATATAACACTAATGGGTAGGTCCCTAACAATACTCCCCCCCTAAACATCCACCTTGCCCTCAAGGTGGGCGGAAGGAGACAACCAAAATCATCTCTTTCTTCTTCTTCCTTGCACCTCTTCCTTTCCAATATCTTTCAAATTTCAGGATCCTAAACTCCATGACTTGAATCTTCCTTCTCACTGCTTCTTGCAAAAACGGCATTAGCTCCTCTTCCTTCCAATCATCAGTATTAGTCTTGTGTCTTTGATCATGCTGGTACTGATCTTCACCCATCATCCCTTGCTCATTCTTCCATTTGTTAATAGCTCTTGATACAGGATATAACTCAAATCTTTCAGTTTCAGTTGCTCCACTCCTTGAAATTTCAGCATCTACAGTAGCCAACTGAAACCGGTAGTCACCAACTTCACCCCCATCTGGAGCAAATAAACAACAATAAACAAACCCCTGGCATTCCTCTAACCACCATCACATAGCAATATCCACCATCATGGTCTGCATTCTTACTACTCCAACCACCTGAGTAATAAGAAATAACCTTTCTTTTACGAAAATAGGACCATGAACTCCAACCAGAAGACAAAGATTCAATTTCAAGACAGCATAGGTAACAGTTTCATTTGGTTCAGTCTTCTTCCAGCCTTCCATAGCAGAAATTAATTCTTTACTATTCTGCAGCTCCTCATAGTTTCTATCTTCTGAGACTAGTACTGTATTGGATGCAAAATCCATTTTGTTCCCATCAACTTCTTCCTCTTTTAGTTCTTTACCTGCCTCATTTGAAAAGGAAGGTCCAAAAGGCTTTAGCAAGCAGTTAACTAAGGAACAAGAAAGATTATTTTCCAAGTAAAATTTCCAGAGTTGGTGTCCTAGCAAGTAAGCAGATTCTTCACCAGAAGTCAACATTGCTATTTTCAAGCCTTGTTTCACTTTCACCTGTTCCTTAACTTCAATATCTTGTTCCACATAACTTCCTGCTATTTTCTCATTGATATATAACCTGTAATTCTGAGCTCTCCTGTCAAATAATCCACCCCTAAGTTGTTAGATGAGTCACAACTAATTGGACCCTTCCCACTCAGATGCACAATAGCATATTCTTGATGATCCTTCGAATTATAAGGAGCTGAAAGTCTCTCTTCAACCTGTCTTTTGAAAATTGCTTTAAACATACTAGAAGAGTGCATCCCAATAGTCAATGTTTGATTGTACACTGCTGTTTCAGCCTCTTTATCATCCATAACCAGTCTTCCTCCACTCATAACATTCATACAAGTTGGTGAACTTCCATGTGAAGTCAATGCCCCAATTTGAACATTAGCATATGATCCCCCAGAAGGATGATAAACACGATCCTCAAGAACAAGTGAACAACTGGACCACATCTCTTTTGTTCCAGGGAATTTAAATCCACATTGTTTGCAAAATTAGGAGAAACATAATCTGGCCATTGGATAACCTGTCTTAGCTCTTCAATTTCTTCTTTTTCATTCATTTTCTGGAATACAGATTTATTTGTCTCCATTTCCATCTCCTTTATTGACTGGAAAAAACCTTGTGCAGGTTCAGAAATAGCTTGTGACCAAACTGGAGAATCAGAAGATTCTTTTTCTGATCGTGATGCCTCCTTAGGCAAGTTGATCGAGGATAGGGATGTCTGCGTATACAGACCATCTGTTTCTAATCGCTGCGATCTGTGAGTCGAAGTTCGCGACTCAGTCTTCCGATGGTTAAGAGACTGCGACGACTTTAGTGTGTCAAATATTCGAAGGGGCCTAGACTTCCTCGATCGTTCTCCAGTCCCTCTGCGAAGCTTATGCTCCTCCGATCTCTCTGAACTATCTGAGTGTCGATGATGAGAGTTGCGATGCGTAGGAGAGTAGTCAAAATTCTCTTCTGATTCCTCTGGATTAGATGACCTTCGCAAATGATGATGCGAAGTATGATGAGAAGAGCTATGCGAAGAGCGATGGGAAAAGTTATGCTCAGATCGATGGGAAGAACTCTGCGAAGAATGATGCGATAAATTCTGTGCCTGGTGAGAAACTGTACGCGATTGTGACATATGAGAAGAAGTTCGCGATTTGGACTGCAATGAGGAATTCTGCGTATGGTGAGAATTCTTTAGCGACTCCGTCTGCGACCTTCGCGACTCCGTCTGCGACCTTCGCGACTCCGTCTGCGATTGCTTCTGCGAATTTGTCCTCGATCTTCCTTGCGAGTGCCGATTGTTTATTTGCAAGGTTAATTTGCTCATCTCTTCACAAAACCGATTGCTTTGTTCGCGCATATTGTCGCAAAACCTCCTGTTTTGTTCGCGCATCTTTTCCATCGTGTGCTCCCAATTTTCCATTGTTCCAACCATGTATAGGTCTACAGGTAACAAGATCGTTTGCTCTGATACCAATGGTAGGATCCTCCAGAAATACAACAGAAATCACAGAAATTTATCAAGAACAATTCAAAGCTTTATTGAATGAAGAACGTAACAAGAAACGATGGCCGAAGCCCCCAAAAGCCGAAGCTCCCAAAGAAAGAGATTATTAGTCTCAGTCTTCCCAAGTCCCAAGACAAATCGTCTAAAAGCCTGCTCTACTACTCCCCCTTCCCATCTATGCGTGTTTTAGTCCTATTTAATGTAAATCTCCCATCATTTTATATCTATGTCACATGATCCCCCCCACAAAAAAACTAGGAATTGATTACTACAAATTGCAGAAGGAATAGATGGCTTTTAGAGAAAGAGAGGTTTGGGGAACACTATAAATTGCAGAGGAAGAGAGAGCTTGGAGAGAAAGAGAAGTTGGGCACAAGTACTCTCGTTCATTCAAGATTCTTCTGTAGCCTTTGTTCAGCTAATTCATACATGGAATTTAGCTAGAAAAAGGGAAAAGAAATAGGAAATAACTTCCACTACTGCGAATGGAGGATATGTGCCACCGCACCCATTACCTCCTTGTTTTACTACACTGCTAAAACTATCTGCAACGGCCCACTAATAATTATATTAAAACTAATTAATTTAATGTAAACAAAATGAGTAATTAAGGTCTCAAACTATCAACCATATGTCTGCTCCAAGCATTCCTGCAACGAATTCACGTACCAATTGGTAAATAATATTTTCAGTTGAAAACATTATTCCACTTGCTACAACAATAACGAATTCCGAGTGGTAATGTATCCCTTCACACTTGTGAATTAACCAAATAAATTTTAATGGGAAAACTGTCAAATAAGCCCCCCAATTTTTCAAAAAAAAAATCAATTAGGCCCCCCAACTAAAATATGGTCCAATTAAACCCTCTAACTCATTTAAAAGTTGCAAATCATCTTTTTAACCTGTGATGAACAAGTAACCGGTTACTATGTTTACATTGACCATCCACGTGGCTTTTTTCAATTTTTCCATTTTCTCTATTCTTTTTTACTTTCTTTTTCCTTCACCCACCCATTTATCCTTCCTCAGCAATTTAGAGTAAGTTCACAACCTTCACCCTTCTTCCATCTTTTCCCCACCCAGTGATTGTCGGCCGGCGTTCCGCTGCTCAGAGCCCGAGAGAAACCAAGGTTGCCGGAGATGCTCCTTCTCGCAGGACAGTCACTGGCTTGGAAGTCAGGGAAGGTGCTCTGTTAAAGCTCGTGGGTCAACAACACAACTCGGCCACGGTACGGTACGGCTGTACGAGACCTCCAAATCATTTCCAGATCCGCAGCTTCAATTTGGCCGAATTGAAGACCCTAGTCGGCAGCGGAGAAGAGGGTAGGTGGGGGAAAGTGAGGACTGAGAATGGTGAAGTGAGTCCGGGAATCTATGAGCTGAGAACTATGGAAAGAAGCGAATGAGGACAGAAAGAAAAGAAAAAGGTTGTGCGCAGGGAAGAAGAAAAGGGTTGTGCGCAGGGAAGAAGAAAAGGGTTGTGCGCAGGGAAGAAGAAAAGAAAAGTAAAGAAAAGAAAGAAAAGAAAATAAAATAAAAGGAAGAAAAATGCCAAATATTTGCCATGCATGCAATTTTGACCGGAATTTAGGAAGATACCTGCTAGAAGGAAGATTTGCCATTTTTAAATTAGTTCAAGGGTTTGATTGAGTCATATTTTAGTTTGGGGGTTTAATTGATTTTTTTGAAAAGTAAGGGGGCTTATTTGATAGTTTTACCAATTTTAATAGCGTAAAAACGAGAAATTAGTTTGAGTCTTTGAGAATTGGATACCTCATCTTCATCCTGGGTTTCAACTTCAATGTCAGTTGATGGAAAACCCACACATAGGAGTGCATATCCCTAAAACTCAAAAAATATATACATATTAAATAATTAGTAATACGGTTGAAGAAAAACATGTAATAGGAAATAAAAGTGGGGGGTAATATGCATTAATTATTAAATTAAATCGTCAGGTTGAAGAAAAACAGGGAGAATAGGACATAGAAGTCATTTACGTTGGTGATGGAGGAAGCAAGTTAAGCAGCCTCACTAGGGTAAGATATGAGATCAAAAAGCTTTACCAGTTCAAGCAGAAAGAGATGAACACTCAAATTATCTATGGAGCCCTTGAAAATATTCAACACAAGACAGAAAAAATCCAATATCCCTTTTATATCAGGGAATCGAAGTCACTCCCAATATAAAGTAAAAGCTAGACAGGTAGGTGGACCAACTCATCAACTTCCCGATTAACAAAGATCTACTTCCAACATCTCAAAAACCGATAATCAGATAGAATCATAGAAATGAACGGATACATGAGCACTTCCTTACAACAACAAAAAAAACAAATTGTTATGCTATGTTGTGATGCGGTGTTGAAGGGTGTTAATAATATAAGTGTTAAAGAGTGTTGGCCTTAATACTTGTTAAAAAACATGGTGGTGTTAATAAGTGTTTAAGGCTGTTAACCATAACCTTCTCAACACCTAACTTGTCATTTTATTTAACAGCCAAAATTGGGGTGTTTTCAGGTGTTGGACAACCTTTGTACTTCTCTTTATTTAATAAATATAAAAGTCTCACTCCTTCCATGTCTCCCCTGCTACTGCTATTCCTCCGTGACATACTATTGTGGTGTCTTGCCCTCCAACAACGACGAACTCTCCCAAACTGCCACCAAAACCTCATGCCACCCACTGCCCTGAACCTCCGTTCTCTCGAGATAATATGTATGGTCTGTTTTTGTTTACTTGACATTAATATTTTCTTTTAATTCAATATAGTTTGTAGTATATAGTCATTCAAATTATTATGCATAGTCGAAGTTGTATTTATGGTTGATTGGTATGACTCGAATATCGACTATTGTTTGTTGTTGTTTCCATTTCATGACGAAAGCATCAGTACGTTGATGCATACCAAAGTGTTCAATAAAATGACAAATGAGTTTTTAGTAAATATATGGCATTCCTACTCATTTTTTGCTTGTATGATACACATAGGATACTATGGGTTCAGTTTTTTAAATATTTATATGTTTTGAACTATGTTGATATATATGTTGTAATGGGTTCATATTGATATTAATGCTACTCATTTTGCTACTCGTATTCTCTTAAATTATTGATATGCTTTTGGGAAAACTGTCAAATAAACCCTCCTACTATACCAAAAAGTCCATTAGCTCCTCGTACTAAAAAACGTCCAATCAAGTACTCTAACTTTAGAAAAACGCTCAAATCATGCTTTTAACCGGTAAACAACCGATTACACAAGTTACATGCACACATGGCGATCCACGTGTCAAATGTTACTATTTTTTTCGTTTCCTTTTTCATTTTCCTTCTCTCCCCCTTTCTTCATCCAGATGCTTTGACGCTTGTTCCAACATCTGTATGCTTCAGCCTCTCCTCGCTTTTCTATGGTTTTCTTTTTAACTTTTCTCGCTTTTTGTACTTCTGTAATATTTACGGAAAATTATATAATGTATATTACAGACTCATCAGACATGAAATAAAAATTAAGCTTAACTATTCTACGAGAAACCCAACAAATCATGTATTGGTGAGCGCGAAATTATGGAGAGAAAAGGGATCTGATGAACAGAAAACTGTGGAGAGAAAGGGGAGTTGATGAACGAAAAATTATGTTTAATATAAATTCACACTAAAAGTCTAAAACAAGGACACCGGAGTTTGTTGTTGTAGGACCTCCAGGCATCGTTGAAGGCAGAGGTATCGAGGATGTCGTGTGATGAAATTGAAGTCGCCGACCAATTGATGAGGAAGAAGATTCAAACTATTTAAGCTTAAGCCATCGACCAATAGATCTTCTGAAGTCCGGAGAGATTCCTTCAGGAAGTTGTTCCAGAAGAAGCGGATGAAGTCCGTATCTATCTCCATCGTGTGTGCGTGTATATAATTAAAGAGAATGAACAACAAAGTGAGAGAAATGAAAACAAAGAAAAAAGAACAAAGAGGGAGAAAATGAAAAAACAGGGGTGATCTGGCTGAACGAAGCATGAGATGTTCGGAGGAAGGGTAGAAGCAAACAGATTTGGACCAAGAGAGAAAAAAAAAAGAAAAAAAATGAAAAAGAAAAAATTAGAACCAACCGCCTGGATTGCCACGTGTGCAACAACCTGTGGATCGCCACATGTGCAAAATAACTAGGTAACAAGTTGTTTACCTGGTAAAAGTGTGCTTTGAATGTTTTTTAAAAGTTGGGATGCTTGATTTGGTGATTTTTAGTATGAGGGTCGAATTGACTTTTTTAAGATAGTACGAGGCCAATTTGACAGTTTCCCTATGCTTTTTTAATCCATATGTGTTTTTTAATTATATAGATGAGATGTCTCACTAAAATGTCAGTGCTTCTTTGTAATGAGGCAGCAGTCAATCCACACAATTTTCGATGTGATTTTCATCATGGATCGTCCGGAAACGGTTTTTGTGTTGCGTACATCCGACCTACCTTACCCCACCGTAGGTCGGAGCCTTTGTAACACTGAGGCAATGTTGTTGTTGTTGATGTGTTTTTTAATTATATGTTTTATGAAAGATGTTGAATTGAAGGAAATGATTTGTATAATGTGACTTGAATGTGTCATTCATTTATAGCTAAAGTTATATGCATTTTTATGTATTGGGTTGGATTGCGGAGACAGAATAATGTGAGTCATATTCTGTCATTGGACGGAGGGAGAAAGGATAAGGACTACACTATTTGATCGGAAAGGGAAAAAGGAAAAAAAAAATTGATTCTTCACGTACTGGAGTATGTGATTTAAGCTATTATGAGTGATTAGTAATTTAAGTAAAAACACTTCTATTACTAACACTTTATTTTCTTAACTCTCACAAACAAGGTAAGTTTATAGCTTACACTTACTTCCTTACTCGTTCCTCGTGTAGTCAAAGTTTTATTTCTGAATCCAATTTAGTGAGCCGTTGATTATTTGACCCATTGTATTTGTGTAATAATATACCCAATGTTATTCTTGTATTTGTATTTAAAAAATGGTTTTAATGTGGCATTCACCGATTCACCCATTGTATTTCTATAATTGTTCAATTTGTAACATCTAAAATTCTATGCCTGCACAGCGGCAGAATTCTTAGTGTCGCAGTAGGATCATAGGATTAGGATTCTATGGTTATTTATTATTGTGGCAATGGTTTGGTTTGCTTCATTTATGTGTTAGGGTGGTACTGTGGTCTTGGTACTATATTTATTTGACACTTTAGTGAATAAAATTGTGTTAAATTGTTAATAGGAATGACTCTTTGATGAAAATGCATTAATAATTCATGTAACCATTCATGAATATGAGTAGTGAGCTAATTCTTATTTTTTTTAATTTAGTTTCGTACACCCAAAACGTAATGGCTAGATCCACCACTGTTTTATAGTTATCTTTTCTTATATATATATATATATATATATATATATATATATATATATAATATTATATACATCTCAAACATATTATATTAGTCCAATATGGTGTTGAATATGTGGTCATCCGGAAACAGTCTCTCTGTGCTTTAGTACAGGGGTAAGACTGAGTACATCCGACCCCCCCTAGCCCCACCGTAGGTGGGAGCCTTTGCGGCACTGGGTAAATGAAAATGAAATGAGATGGTGTTGAATATGTCATATTTGATCACTCTAGAATAGTATACATAATATTTTCTAAAGAGTGTGCTTGACATAAGTCAAGCGAGCGCCTTGCACCTCAAGCAATATGAGTACTCAAGCGTCTTGAGTGTGCCTCATGACTTTGACTACCTTGCCTATACCTAGAGGTGCAAACAAGTAAGGTCACTCGTGAGCTACTCATGAGCCACTCACTCAAAACTCAACTACAGTTCGATTAAACTCAAACTCGAGCCTAACACGAACTGGCTCGTTTAGCAATTGAGCCGAGCTAGAGCTCAATTCCTTTTAGCAAGAGATGAACAATACCTTTTTTTTCAGTTCATTTGAAATCCCCAGAGCTTCTGGTTGTCTTATTTTCCCTGATTTTACACGAACAGCACAGCTAGTACAACATCCTTCAGGATATAAGATATTTAATTTAGATATAGGAATCTCCATGATATGGAGAAAGTTAAGCCAGAAAAATGAAATAAAAATAAAAATGAAAATGAAAGTTAACCATCTAGAAAATTTGCTTTGTCAATCCGTCAAGATCCACACCCTTAAATTAATCCTGAGAGCCAGAATACCACTACCATTAACTCAATAGAAATTAACAACAATGTCTCCACCAAAATCATACTAGTATGAATGTGTATTCACTTTAGGGATAATGTGTTCTAACTTAAAAATAATACCACTTCTGTCCCATTTGAAAATAGCACACTTTCTTAGACAATAGTTAAATAAAGTAATTTGAATATAGTTTGAGAAGTAATTTAGATGGTTATATAATATAATGGGATAATTGGTGATAAAGATGTTTGTTATGAGTGTATTAATTTTAATATGTGATGATAAAGTTGTCATTTAGAAGAGTTAACCATTTCCTAGAGTGGAAATATGAACCTTGATATGGGACGTCCAAAAGAGACAAGTGAAAACCTTGAAACGGGACGAAAGGAGTACAAGATTGTAGATACCACCACGGCATAAATGGGTCTATTTCAAATGAAGATTTGTGTTTTTTTTGAAAAAAAATTTAGTCATCAAATCAGAAAGGTATATGTATTTATCAAAAGTGTTGCGAGGGAAACAAACTGAGAAAGATTGTGTGGAAGGTTCACGCAATCTACATGCGTTATATAACCACACAACACCTTTAATAAATATATCTACCTTCCTGATTTGATGATTAAATCTTCGTTTGGAATAGGCCCATCAGGACCCTTTATCGCATCAGTGGTATATAATCAAATGCGTAGAGAATGGCCAGATAGTAATTTCATCATATTGGACATCTTTCTGATAAACAAATGACACATTGATCATTTTATTCTCTACAAATTCAAGAAGTCAGAACTGTTTTGTAGAATTGATGAACTTTTTTTCTCAAATTACAGCTTGCATTAGAGACCAGAATCCAAATTTACAGCCCGTTTGGTAGCATATATTTTCAGCTTATCAGCCTTATCATCTATCTTTGTTACCAAACATCTAACTTTTGATTTCACATGCGGAGTTGTGTAATAATCAAAATAACTATTTTCATATCAAAAGGTTGAGGTTACTTTTCTACTGAATTTGCTGAAATTTACTATTTTAGCTATTTTCATATCATTTTTAATTTATTTATTAAAAATGTTTATTTTAAATGTGCTTTTTTTCTCAAATACTAAGCCCGTTCAGTCAATTTTTGTGTTACCAAACGGGCTTTCAATTACAAAGTACTCCGCACATTAACCACAAGTCGAGACTGAATATTGTTTGTTATCTTGTTTTTTTTTTCTATTATAAAAATGAAAGGTAAATACAGTGAGCCTTGGAAGCCGCAAATGCATAGAACATCAGTGAAAGACTATTTTATAGTCTATGGCAGACAGGCTATTCTACTATCTCATTATCTCCTCCTGAAGTGCTAAAGTAATTACTATGCAGAAGAATGAACAACCATAACGTGTGTTAATTTGAAACTTATCTTGCACATCATATTTAATTAATAATCAGCATATTACGAACTGAGAGTGGAAGCTTGATTGATTGTCGAGTCAATACCATGCCTGCAAGCAAAGGGGAGCCTTATATTCTGAGCCTCAGCCGAGTGCAATATGTACTGATCCTGCATTTATGTTGATCCATGTCTTTGTAATTTGTATCATATCATTTTACCTATCTTTTTCCAATTGCACACAGAGAACATTAAGGTTATGAAAGAATTCATACCTCGGAGACGAAAAATTCATGAACAACGCCGCTTTGGCGATCGTGAACGGTGACTTTGTGGGTTGGAATGTTCGGGATTGAATTGCTGGTACCGTTTTGAGCTGCGACGGCGTCCGTTGCTTGCAGCTCAAAAGTCGTTTTGCGACTGCATTTAGTGGAGTTTCGAGGGAAGTTTAGCGGCGCGTGAAATGCAGGTCGCCGGTGAAGCGGGTAGCAAGGAGCTAGAAGGTCCATTTATCAACGGGGTTCCAGGTTACACAAATCCTCGATTGAGCGGTGTGGGGGGCTGGCGAAGCCTATATATACCCATTTTATAATTTTATTTCAAGATTACATAAATTTGTCCATAAAAATAAAACAAAGGAAAAATTGATAGTAATAATCTCAACTATTGGCGATCAGCTCATAATAATCTCAACTATCGATTATTTCAGAATAATCCCAGCTATAGGGACCTTCCTCCAATAATGGTCCCTATAAATAAATTCTTGAAATTTTTAAAGTGGATAAAAAGAGATATAACAAGTAATCCCTATAAATAATCCCAACTTTTAATTTTTATGCTTAATTTCTATTTAAAAATCACTTGTTATAGGAGGTAATATATGGTCATGGACCACTATTGGCGGACGGTCCATATAGTTGGGATTACACAAAAATAATCAATAGTTGGGATTATTGTCAGCGGATCGGCAATAGTTGGGATTATTATTTACAATTTTTCCTAAAACAAAAAGACATGTTACTTTTTTATTTATTCATGCCACTTTTTTTGTGATAGCGTTTATAAGGAAACCCTCCAAGTAAAATCTCATGTTAGTAATTGCTCCCATATATAGGACTAAAAGAGGGGAGAAATTCTCAAATAGTATCATGTATGATTTTTCTCTAAATAGGACTATTTTATTCCTATTTGAAAACATCCCTACTTTTCATTCCAGTATTACGCCCTTATCCCTTTTACGCTCATCTCTCCTCCCCTGCGCACAGCCGCTTCCCCAATCTCTCTTTTGCACACATCTGTATCTCTTCCTTCACTGCGCATCATCACTTCACCCTAGTCATCGCCGCCGCAGCTGACTTTGCACTGCACACAAGATTGATCGATTTCTCTCTCACGTCGCCGCTGCCGCCGATATCTTCGTATGCCGCCGCCGCCACTGCCACTGAGGTTCTGTTCTTCTCCTTCTCCTTCTCCTTCTCCTTCTCCTTCTTCTTCTCCTTCTCCTTCTCCTTCTTCTCGATATTCCTCCATTTTCCTGAATTTTGAATTGATTTTTCCAGTTTTGGAGACTTTTATTTCGATTTTCTAGTTTTAAATTTCAGAGTTTAAAAAAAATCAATTTTCATAAATTATTGGATGTTTGCTTCAGATTTGGCCAAGTTTATAGCAGAAATGTGTACATTTACAATCATATTATGAAATAAATGCTTTTGAATAAATTGTTTTTTCTATTTTTGTCAATAGCTTTGATTTTCTAATTTCTGGTTGTGTTAAAATGTTTGTTCCATTAAAGGTTTTAGTTGTTTGAATATTTGGTTATTTACTTCATGTTTTTCGATTTTTGCCAAATTTATGGCACTTTTGTGTTACTATGTCAAGTTGAATTTGCCAACTTTTTTGGCAGATCTGAAACACTTGTTCATGGGAGAAGTGAATCTAATCCTCAATGCTAAATCTGTCAAGTTAATGGGAGATTATTCCGCCTGAGTTGTCACTGTTGTGGTGTTGCTCAGAGGATGGTGGCGGCGGTGGATGGCGACGCTGGTATGGGAACCGGCAAGGGGCGGTGATGGATGGCAACGGTGCATCGGCAAGGATGCAGTGGAAGATGGTAGACGGCGAAGGGTGGCGACATGTTGCGTGAGCGAGGGGTGGCGGCAAGCTACTACTATGGTTTCAATAGTTTTTTTATTTTACATTTTTAAATTTTATAAAATTAAAAGAGGGGTTTTTTTGTCCAAGTGTACTGAAATTAGTCCTATGAAACTTTAGAGCATCTTCAATGGTACAATGTGCACGGTGCACACGTGGCATGAGAGATGACCACATAAATATTAGTAAATAAATTATTTCTCTCCTTATTTGAATGATTTTATACAGTTTTGGTAAGTTATTCTCCACAATGTCAAAGAGACCGTCTAATATTGACATTGTTGTTGACATTGCAGGGAAAAACTTACTAAAATTATATAAAATCATTCAAATAAGGAGAGAAATAATTTATTTGCTAATAATTATGTGGCTATCACTCATGACACATGTGCACCGTGGACATTATAGCATTGAAGATGCTCTTAGTTTCGTTGATAGTCCTAAATGTGAAATTAACTTTGTTATTAGTCCTATTTGAGTCATTAACTCTTGTTTCTTTAACTAATGAGGGTATTAATTTAGAGAAGATGAGAAAAATTCCAAAAATTTAAAATTAATTAACTTCAAAATATAAATGATCACTATTAGCAGAATAGAAAATATTACGGAGTATATTTTTCTACACTTGCTCTCTGTGAATTTCATATTTTCATTTTTTTTAAATGCTCCATCACTTGTAATCATACCAAGCACGTGTATTTCGACAAAAAAAAAATGAGATAATCATTCAAAAACAAGTTACCGATCTCAATGCACAAACTTGACATCACAATTTTCATAGCGGAAAGACATCTTTCAATAAATTGATAAATTTATAAATTATACTTACGATCATATTTAAGAATACTACCGTGAAAAACGTTTTTAAAATTTATAATATAAATGAAACATATGTTTTGTGGTCTTTGTATAAGATTACTCCTTTTTTGAAATGATAAGATTACTCCTATTATACACATGTATTGTACCACGTAATATGTAGATAAAATAGTCTGATGACTAAGACAAAAACATAGAGAAAATTGCTCGCCGTAAGATCAAATCATAGAAATTTTACAAAAGTAGGACTTAGTTATATTTTTTCCATGCATAGGATTTATCTATTTTTCTTTTAGGAAACATTATTATATTATTGCTTTCCAATTTTATCCTTCTCTTTAGGACTCCCGATTTTAGAAAAAAACTTCCCCAACTCTTTCATCTATCCCACCTCATCGCATCATATGCCCTACAAGTATTCTATGTCTGTTTTAGCATCGCTCATTGGCGACTCAGGGCTGTTACCGTTAGCTCGATCATCTTTCTGATTTCGAGAATTTCCAAACTGTCTGAATTACATCTCTGGCGTTGATCCGATTAGGAACAAAATCCTTCTCCGACATCATGACACTTGTAACCAAATGATGTGTCGGTGTGACCACATATGCCGCCTCATCGCGGAGTTTCTGGATAGCCTCTCGAGATATTTCATCATTGGAAATAGTGTGGACTGTATATATAACGTTTATGTTACTTGCTCTGCTATTGTGCTATTATCCGAACTTATTGTCTATTTATTGGCTACTTACTATCTATTTAATGTCTGTTGTTTTCAAAGTTTGATTTTTGTATACATGCTCTCTTGATGTCAAACAAGGCCTTCCACTATCAAGTCACGACAAATATAGTTGTTGATATCATCAAACTCCGGTATGCAAATGCATCTAGGAAAGCATATATCCCGAATGACTTTTTTGTTCTTCTATTACTTTCATACTCTACATTCACTTTGTACGTACTTGTAATGTTATGTATGTTGTTTTAGGTTAAGAAGGCTACTCAATTTGAGTTTGAGGTGGTGGACAAAACATCTAGAATTTTTACTTTTAATCTCAAAGATAAAACATGCTCATGTTGTGAGTTTCACCTAGAGCAGTTCATATGAGTCGAGGATAATCGTGATATGATTACATATCAAAGATTCATTTTCACTCATGAGTCAGTAACCATTTATAGTGTGGGTGACGTACCATAGTAGTCCCTGCTTTAACTTCAACCTTCCTAATTGAATTATATGTAGTCCATAACATGCTACCCATGCCACCGGCCTACATGCCTCAGACGCCAACTCAACCGGCACAAAAAAAGCCTATATCTTGAGTCAGAGAATTTGCTTCTTGATAGTGGAAATGGTGTTCACACTTTAAGAAATGTGAAGCACAAGTGTTGACGTTTACTTTTTTCGCTCACAGGAAGCTGGCAAAAGAATAAAACTATTAATTCTCTCTGAGCATTTTGAGGCCAAGCTTTGTACCTTCCATGTTGAGTCCTTTGTGATGTTGGTAAATTAATACCCTTTTATTGTTATTATTTCTGAACTATTTTAATCTTTTCATAATAAACTTTATTTAGTTTTTTTTCTTTTGTCCTACTCATTTTTGGGTGAAGCCTCCTACTCCACATGAATTTCAAGTTATTGAGAAAACCTCGAGAAGCTTTGTTCATGGCCTTTTTTCAACCTTTGCATTTGATTTATGTTCATGGAATTGCGGATGTCGGTCACCATCGAGGCTTATCATGTGACTATATTTAAGTGTTGTTATATTTCATACATGTGGGGGTTCACAACATACTCCGTATACTGGAGAGTTTCGCTTGATGTATTCTTAGTTAGATGAGGACATTCCAGCTCATATAAGACCAATTATATGTAAATCACCTACCTGTTTGACACACCCATGTGATGGGCTAAAAAAGAAGAGCATGCCCTTAACCGGTGAAATTCTGTCATTAAGTGTTGTTCTCGGTGCAAGAAAAGTGGTCACAACAAAAAAACTTGCAGGAATCATGTATCAGTTTCTACTTTCTAGGCCTTAATGTAGATTTTTTCAGTTCCTCATTTTCTGTTTTGTATGAATTATTGTACTTCACAAGTGTTTATTCTCATATGTATTTATCTTTTCTCATTATACTTTATGGATCTTCAATAAACAAGATTTAAAGCATAAGTCATTCATAGATGTGGTTATCAATAAGTTTTACCGTCATATAATTTATTGATCTTTACATGTTATTTTCATACTTACTGTTATTGTGTGCATTGAATTTCCAAAGATCAGCTATTTCTCTAAATATTTATTGTCTTCCGCGTTGTCTATTTATTGGTTCGCGCTATATTGTATAATTAATGTCTAACTTAGGTATAATATTGCTCAAACTTTAACACTTTCCCAAGAAATTCAAATATGAAGAACTCTTCATGTTACACAGATGAAGTGTATTAATATATGTGTAACAATTAACTTATGAATAATTTAAACAGATGATGGGTAAATATCGGTTTTATTTTATAATTGAATTTGACCTTCATAATTTTGATGAACTCTAATAGATTAAAGGTTGGTTTGCAACTGCTTTTAA